TTAAAAATGGCAAAAATACATTTGGTTCCATCTTTACCATGTTATACCAAAAAAATGAGAGCACCCACCAACATAAAATGGACTGTTGTAGACACTCGACGTCTGTTAACATATCCAACATTTGTGATGGTGTTCTGCCTTATTTTTGCAAAATGAATTTTTGAAAATGTATATATGAATATTTGACACACAGCTTAAACTAAAAAAACTGATTTCCCTGCTGGAAAGTGTGTGAAACTCCTAGAATTTTTTCAGTCAAATCTAAGATGCTCGGGCAGGGGCATTTGGAGATTTGGCGTGGAATGACCCTATAAGTAGTAAGTTTAGATTCACTGCTTGTAGGCTAAAGTTGATTTCAAACTCATGTGTATGTATTTGATGTATAGAGAATCTCTGAGGCCCAGCACCACTTTGAGAAGTGATGGAGCCTTAATGGCGATGTATATAGTATTTCATAAGGGGTAGTTTTATTGTTCAAAGTGTCTTGGTAAACATGCATTCCACTTACATTATTGTGAGTGGGGTTGGCTATTCACAGATCTGAGCTGTAACTTGGTTCGCGGGCCTCACCCAGTGAGTTGGACATGTAAAATATCTCAGGAAACAGTGTTCCCTACTGACAAACTACACATAAAGCAGAATGTTTTCTCATTGTCTGTCTTCTTGGTCAACTCATTTAGAACAGAGACATACTACGTACTGATTTCACAATCCTACAGTCCTCTTTACCATTTTCACTCAAACGGGACCTGAGCAGACTAGATTAGGTGGTGACAAACCTAGTTACCTCCGCCAAGGAGGTTATGTTTTTGCCGGCGTTTGTCTGTTAGCAACATAACTCAAAAAGTTATGGACCGATTTTGATGAAATTTTCAGGATTTGTTGGAAATGTGAAAAGGAAGAACTGATTTCATTTTGGGGGTGATTCGGAAGAAATCCTGGATTCTGGATCACTTTGAAATTTTAGTTAACATTGTGGTAAATGGGGCCAAAAATTTTGTTTCTCAATATCTCGGTTAATTATTGACCAAACCCCATGAAATTTGACTCAGGGATGGACAATGGGATCCTCTTTCATATTCCAAAGGCTGATCCGGAAGACTGATTTTAATCGCAATTTATATAAAAAAATGGGGTAGTCCTTGGCGGAGGTCTGCGCTGAGTGCTTTTCTAGTTTTTAAAAGCTTTTCCAGAACAGGCCTTCACAGTGTACACATTTGCCGTTTTATTTTAACTGCAGAGTTGTTTTTCAAAAATATGAAAATGCAGCTTGCTACAATTAAGTAGATATAGTACACTTCTACTTGACAAGTAAAATGACTCAAAAAAAAAAAAAAATCATAATACAAAGTCATGTTAGTGAATACACAACCAAGTCAGTAATCCAACTTAACATAGCTAACTTAACATAACTTAGATTCAAGTATAGTTTCCCTGTTAAACAAGTGACCAACTCTTCATAGTAACCAAACAGTACAAGTTCAGCAACAACTAAGTTAAAATTTTTTATTTAAGACAGACTCAGGAAGGCTTTATGCATCACATCTTTGAAACAAAAAAACTGCTGCATTCCACCAATGACCTGCTGGTCTCTGGTCAGTGAATCTTCCATCCTGACTGGCTCGCTCTTAAGGACACGGCTCGTCTGTGCTTTTTGCACTTTGCGTGTTCACTGCAAGTGTGGTTGCTGCTTGGCTCATCATTAACTTACGTTTGCATGGGGGGCAATATCGGGGTTGTCACTATGTGCCGTTGGACATAAACTGCATTTATTTTGTGGCATTGATTAAAGTGTGAGTCCAATCAGCGAGTGTTTCATTTACTGGTCCAGCATCATTTTGTGTGCTGTTGGTCCAGTCACTGAGGGTACCATTTTCCCACTTCGACACCACAAGGTGTTTGACACTCCAGTCATCTGCAACGGTTGACGTTACATTGACCATCCCAGAGTCATTCAGGGTTGTGTTTTCGTGGCTCCCAGAGTCATTCAAGGTGTTGTTCTGACCATCATCATGAGCGACAGGATCGGTCTGTAACCAGAAAAAGGCAGTTAATTCAGCTTCATTGCCTGACAAGACCACTGATGAGGGGCTAGGTTTATTTAAAAAAAAAAAAGCCACATCTGTTCTGCCTCAGAACAGCTGGGTACATTTTAATTTTATACACAGAATGGCAATTTCTCCACCACTGTCACTTGTTAAATGTGATGGACTCAATGATTCAATAGTCAATTACCATTTTATAATACAATTTTTAAAATGTGTTTGAGATTCACTGGTCAAGGAACTGCAAGTGGAAGTTAGATTGCTTATAAACCCATTTCTACACTGTAGAAGTTCATGGCAGATACCACGTTTTTGAGATTCCCTACATCCACAGCATGTGCAGTGTCGTTGGATAAGACGTGGTGAGGAACACTTTCTGGCAGCACTTCCACCACACCTGTTTTAGCACAAAGTCAAGTTAAGGTTGGCAATGTTATTGAAATATTCCATTAATGGAACTTTTAAATTTTGGTTTTAAGATTTTGCTCAAGAAAAAAAAAAAAAAAGGCTCATTTTCTTCATCTATTTTAGCAAAGTTTGTCATTTTACTTCCTGGTCAGAGAAAGGCAGCAGATATGACATTCCAAAACTTGTTACCCTTGTGGTTGCTGTGACACATGTTTTGTTAAAGGTTTAAAACTGCCAGAAAAGTTCAAATTTTATTGATGTAGGTAAAGGGGTTCTGTTGTAAGACTATCACTAAATTCTGCATTTTTCTCCACAAACTACCCCTTAACTGATGGTCAGTATGTATCAATTTTAAAAGTACTATCCCACCAAAACCACCCATGCAGTGCTCAATGCTATTTTCTGATCCATGTCATTATAATCCACATTGTGATGTCACGTAATACAGGAAGTGCTCCACTGAGTTTTTAGTCTCCATACACCATCACTACAATCATTTTGATCTCAGCTCTGGAACTGCCCAGCTCCACAAACCAGAAGGTAAAATGGTAGTAGTCAGCTTAAAAACTACTGCTTCATGACATCACTCCAGGTATGTTTTTTGGCAGCAACAACATTCTAATGTGACTAAAATCTCAAGAGTCAATGTGGCACAATATAGGCCCTTTAATGCTGTACTGTGGAAACATACAGGTGGGTGATTACCTCCGCACCAGAAATGTTGTAGTGCAATTTAAAAGAGAAGTTAAACACAGGCCTAAAAAGGTGTGTGCTGCATTCACTCACCCTCTTTAACTTTGGACTCCACCTTGGCGACCAGGGACTCAAGCACCTTAACTACATTCTTCAGCTCAGACACATGAAGTTCTAAAACAACATCGCAAATCACATTACCACGTGAATAATCCAACATTTCTTAACCATATTAGCCTACATTATAATAGCAATACCACACCTTTAGGGCCATCATGCCAGTTCCATACCTGCTCTTTGCCAACTATTAAATAAAATACATCAGTTTCATAGTTTCAGGATTTAATTTTATGTTGTTGTTTTTTTTAATGGATTTACCTGTGGATGTTCCAAAACTGAGCAGAAAGCAACACCAAACCCCCACTGGCCCCATTTCGCTGGTGTCTGAGAGAACCATCCAGTCAGTAGAGCCACATGCAACAGTTAACTCCAAGTGTCACACCTGACGTCCATGAGCGTCACTTTAAAGGACAGGTGCGGGGGCTTCTGATTGGCTGAGAGAAAGCGGACACGTCCACAAGTGTCCTAATTGGCTAACAGGGTGCGTCCATGTGTTTCTGCTCACCTGCGCAATTATCCCGCGAATCTAAACCACGCCCACCGAGGAGTGAGAGCCAATAGGAATCAGCTTCCTTTGATTGACACCTGAATAGGGCGCGCCCTAAAGATATGTTTACGTCTGTTACTTAAAACAAAGACAGTGCACAGAAAACATAAAACTCTGAAAAGATACTTGGTTATTATTGTTCATAAAATCTGGCACCAACAACTTGCATTAAAAAAAAAGCACTTCTGATAATTTTCTGATAATTCATGTATTCTATTGATGCAAAATTTGGAATGATAACTACTGGCAGACAGATGTGACTGGGGTAATTTATCATGTAGCACTTTTCGATAATAATAGCTAATAGTTCAAACTTGGAGTTACCTCTTGGAAGTTTGAGACAAGATGGCCACTGTTAAAAATGTATGCGTTCACCCCTCATTTAGCCTACACTAGAAAAGTGATGGTAGATCATATTTTGTGCAAAAAAAGGTACATTATTGGTGGAATTTTGGAACTTATTTATAAAAAATATATTCATTATTAACCATTTTTCATAGACTTTATAGCATGTCTTTGGCCTATCCATTTGATTTTAAACACATATTAGAGGCAAATGTGTATTTAAAGGTGCACTGTGTAACTGCATTAAACTTCCATTTAGCATTTACTCAATACAGGTGTTTTTTTATTTTTTAATGCTCATAATCACCTGAAAAACATGCATTCTTTGCCTACGTTTATATGATGACGGTTTGAATAGAAGATGCAAAAGTGATGTCTCGTCTTCACTTTTTATTCCGCGTTTACACGGAGGAAATCTGGGTATATACAGTGACCAGAGCTTTGCATCTTGGGCAGTGTAGCCAGAAACCCTACGGTGGAGTGTATTCAATTTTCCCACTCTGGAGGGTGGTTTCAGATTTTTGCGTTTTTAAGCCCCAAAAAGGCCGTCACAGTTTAAACGAAAGGCACTTCCAATAAAATATCTTGTCATTTTTACCCGCAAGAGTTAAACAAGCCCATATAAGCAGTAGGGGCACCATTCCGCAGATCTGACCTGTAACTCTGCCCAATGGCATCACCTGCTTGTGTCCAACACACCATGATGTTTAATGCCACACTGTGAATCATTTCAGTTGAAGCAATAAAATCTGTTCAGACTAGCAGTTGGCACTAACCAGATCATATTTTTACTCAACTCATCTAATGATAAGCATCAACATTTGCAAAAATAACTCCAGTCATGTAGCAAAAGTCTCATGTTTATTCGACACAAATATGGCTGATACAGTGGTAGATTATAACAGTTCGTAGATGGTCATCAGAGGGTCAGTAGATGCCATAGGTGTGTGGCTGTCCGTCCCTGTAGCGGTCCAGGTAGCGCAAGGGCTTTCTGTGGGGGAACTTAACCTGAGGCGGGTGGTACACTAGGGGGCGGATGAACTCGAACACAGGCTCCTTCATGTCTGCACACACAACACATGGTTCACTTTATCTATACATATATCTGTACATGTATACCACGCATGCCAAAACTGTGGCCTGGGGGTCAAAAGTTAAAAATCTACCTTGATAAAGTCAATATCAAATAATTACTGTGTTGTACTCAGTATCTAAGCATGAGTAAAGGTCTCATGGCTCATTCTAACCAGTTTTAAAAGCACAGATTTGAATTGTTCATTGTTTTGACCACCAGTTTATGACTCTTAATTGGCCCTGTGTTTCATCTGGGTTTTGATATACGGCCCTTGAAGAAAAAAGTTTGGACACCCCTGATATATACAGTTAAAAATACCCTACACAGTGCAGTGCAGTACAGTGCAATGGTCAGCTTGTATCTTTTTAATGGACAGGCCTACAGCCAGTCCCATCAGCAAAAATGTGGATTTCAGACTTGAAAAAATAAACTGTGTAATGTTTTGTGTTAAAATTTCATTGATTAAAAGTATGTCAAGAAATTTACATTTTTATTACAAACTAAACAAATATTAACAAAAATTGTAATCAGTCAATATGAAGAATAGAAAATGTAACTTTTTGATCATATGGCAAAGCCCTACAATCGACTGAACCCAGTGTGATAATGCCCTCGTGTATCTCCTCAGCGGAGGAGAGAGCGCAGCAGTACTCACTGAGAATGTGGTGGAAGGTGTGTGTGACCGATGCATCCCACTGGCTCTGGAAGAAGGCCAGGCCCGCAGGGGTCATGTGATCCTGGTGCTTTCTGTACCAATCCACTGTTTTAAAGGTGCGCTCCTCCAGAGAATGACTGGGGAAAGGGACAGAGAGGTATTATATAGGTATTATATCTGTACTGGAGTAAGACAGATTTTGCTCGGACACATGGGAAAAAACAGGTACAGGGCTATTATTTAAAATAAAACAACAAGAGTCCTGACCAGACCAGCAATCAGACAGAGGTTTAGTCCTGGGATAGACCTGGTTTAAACCTTAGGTTAAGGTAAGGGTCTTAGTTTTAGTCCCAGTTTAGTCCCGTTTCAGTCCCGGTTCAGTCCCGGTTTAGACCACACAGGCTTTGTGTGGTAAACATTTGTGAATGATACAAAGCTCTTTAAATAGTGATCATTTTACCATGGCGACGGGCGTGCATCCTCCCTAAAGTCGATGGGTCCGTTCTGTTTGAAGAGGACGTAAATGTAGCGGTGAAAACCCGTGCCTCTGGGGGGGAAGGGGGGCAGGTAGTGACACAGCTCGTCCCCGGACTGCACCGCTCCGGCTGGAATGTTCCCTCTACACACACACACACACGCTGAGTATCTTTGTGGGGGCCTTGGGCACAGTCACTACTTGCTTAACTATAAAGGGCCCATATTACACTATTTTCTGATCTATGTTACAATACCTGGAGTTGTGTGGAGCTGTGAAGTGCTTATATACTTATCATGGTGAATAATTAGGATGCTCAGAATGCATAAAGTAAGTGAGGAAGAACTTTGGACCACTTTGGACTTTGGACCACCCACAAAACAAAAGGTACCCATGATATTAGTGTGTATACAGTTTTCTGTCCACATGATAAATACCACTCATAAAATAAAATGGCTGAAATCCATTTTAGGCCAGACGTAATCTGACCCAACAAATCAATCAAAACAATATTCAACCTACTGCTCCAACTAATAAAGTGATTACAAAAATATAAAATGTCTGCGTGACACTTACACCATCCAGTGCACATATTCAGCCTCCCCGTCCAGTAAGTGCTCATCTGGGGAAAAAAAAAAAGTTAAGAGCATCACTGGTGTTGACTCAGTTTGGACCCCTGCTAGTCCTGCTTTAGTTCAGGGTTTAATCCTAAAATCTAATGTGTGGTTGGGTTCACATTCTAGAATGAAATTTCGATAAAACTCAAGGTGCAGTTTTTGTGAAAATTAAACTCTTTTTGTCATCGCTGTACAATCCTGTCCTATGGAATATTATTGTTACTTTTCATGACTATAGTACCAATATAATTTCTTAGCTAGCTAATTTATGTGGACAGAGATGATCTAATTACTGGGCCTATCCACCTGAAAAAACTGTTTATGACACAGATATTAAAAGGAACTGTATGTACCGTAAGATTTAGATTTTATATTCCATTAACATGTGTCTCCTGATACAAAGTAAACAGGAACCAGGAACCAGTAAGTGCAATTTTAAACAAAAAAATGGCTAAATTGGTAAAACGTTTTTTGCAAAAATATATTGATCTTAACTGTGTGAGTAGTATAACCTTGTAAAACTGTAAGGGCGCAGGCTACATACATTTCCTTTTCTTCTTAACCATAAGCCAGGTCAGTTTCTTCAGAGAGGTCTTACTATTGTATTTATATCATCTTTTAACATACTGCCCAAAATGTAGGCTAAAGTTTCCTGACCTGGACATGTGAGCAGCAGTGTCCACAGCGTTCCTTCCTCTGCCTCAAAGCTGACCTGAGGGGCTGACTCTGCCTACAGAAAAATATAACAACAGTTACTCCAGTGATTCCACATTTAAACCCTAATATCCTTATTCTTACCTCTGTAGGGGTGAGCTTGTTCCCATAATGCACGCTGCTGTCTTGCCCGTAGAGCACTCTGAGAGGGATTATGGGTAAGAAGAAAGCATTGGGGAACAGGTCTTTGTAAACAGCGTAGTGTTCGGCCAGTCTCCTGATGTGGAAGGGCCCGCTTGTGTGCTCCCACACCTGCTGCACGCACTCCAGCGGAATCTTCACTGTCAGTGGAAGAAGATGACAAATTGGGATTATTATATTTGGATAAACATTACAATTTAAAATGCATATGAAAGATCAGACTGCACTTTTCAATAAACATAATTAACATTATTATACATGAGATTAGACTAAAGATATTACATAATTGTTCTAATAGTATTTTTTTGAAACTTACAATAAAAAAGTCCTAATAAATAATAAGAATAAATGAAAATTCTCAAATTGGAATCTATGGTGTCACTTCATAAGTTGTAAAAAGTTAAGTAAAATAATTTTACTTCCTGGTTGAACACAGGCAAGAGATGTGACATACATAAAAGTAATTCCATAACAAAACTAAAGGTCGATGTAAACAGACACATGAAAGGAGCTGCTCTCGCTTTTTTACTTTTACAGAACACTTCAAATTGAATTCACAGTGCAGTTTTGTGGACTGGGTGTCTTTATTTGTGGAGGACAATTTCTGTAGACAATGTGGATGACATGCTGCACTTTAAATTTACAACTTTATGAGAGGTGAGTAATGAAATCTTCTCATTACTTTCGCCATTTCCTGAGTTTGTATTTTGCGCCTCTGTGTCCGTCACTCCTCTGCCCCTGATGCTCTGTTTTATTGTCTGTTGCTGTAGCATTGCTGATGTTTGGTGGTTATGATTAGCTCAGAGTCACACACACACACACACACAAGGAGCGCAACAGCTTCAAAACACAAAGTCGAGTCACGATTCCCTGAACTTGAAGAGAAGCAAGTCGCATGAAAAATGGGGCAAATTCTTCTGTAGTTTGTGGCAGCCTTAAATTATACAGTGTTATGATTAGACCAATACAAATAAATGACAACACCTTTATTTAGTTAAATGAAGGTTTAAACTGACAAAAAATGCATTTATTGTGTGTAAATAGTTCCTGGATTTTGGAAAGTTTTCTCAGTAGTGATGACATAGGTAGAGGTATTTTTGCACTTTTCTTTTTTTCTCAACTTTTTCCTCACACCACCACCACTGATGTAAAACTATAATACATATTTACCACAGACACTAATGCTCCAAATCAAGTAAAGAAAAACGTAAAACCCTGACAAATACATAAAGGTGCCATGGAGAATTAAATTTTTACATCCCCATGGAAAACAAGCAGGGGATGCTACCAGGCCAAGTTACAGGTCAGCTCTGTGGAGAGGCAACCCTGCACATAGTAGTGCATATTTTTCATTGTATTTTTAGCAAAACAACAAAACAAAACAGAGAAGATACATTTAATGCCAAGTTATATTAGTTAGTTAGCTGTGGAACCTTATTCATGGGTTTCGGCCTCCTGTTATATGTGGCACTTTGAGTACCAGCATTGGAGGGGACACAGTACAGGTCAGACTTACGTGTGCGCAGTCGAGCCGCTCTCTCCAGCTCCACATTCTTCTTGTTTGCCTTCATCAGTTGCTTCCTCTCTTTCACCTGTTTGATTCTGTTTGGCTGGTTAAACGGGAAGCCGATGTCCACCTGCTCTGCACCTGCAAGGACATGATTAACCTGAAGTTTTTCAGACTTATAGGGTCAAAAATAAAAAAATCACGATTAATTGCAAGGTTTAATGGCCTTTATCGGAAAAAAAAACAAGTTCTATATGGAATGTTAATTTTGAAAAATGCAGTATATGAATGAATGGAAAAAAGGTCAGGCATACTGACATCAGCACATGTTTCCTTCATTTAAACTTATGTAATTTAAAAATGTAATAATTGTAGACAAAAAAAATTATTCCAGATATTTTTCCTCTAATTGTTCATTACACAGCCATGTCTATAGATGTACATGGATACATACCATGGTCTGGATCGGACCGGTCCACATACTTCCTGTACGTTTGCCACCACACTGGCTTGTTGTGGGCCTCCTGAGCCTGTCTGAAGTAGCGCTTGTAACAGCGATATTTCTCCAGAGACTCCAGGTTCTTCACATTGATGTCTTCGTTTGGTAGAGGTCCAGGAGCAGGGGCACGACGCACCCACAGACCGGCTGAGGGGGGCAGCAGACAAATAGTTGGTCTACTAAAATTTTAATTTTCTAACTCGAATTCAACACCACGGACGAATAGACTCAATATTCAATACTGATTCTGGTACTGCAAAGATAATAAAAAAACAAATATACAATTTAAGTATTTATTTATATAGCACTTTTCACAGATATATGCCAGTCAGTAATCATTCAATCCACACCCGGTGGTGGTAAGCTACTATTGTAGACACAGCTGCCCTGGGGAAGACTGACAGAAGCACAGCTGCCAATCTGCCCCATTGGCCCCTGCGACCACCATCACTCACAGACACACCACTTTCATACTAGGCAATGTGGGTGAAGTGCCTTGCCTAGGGACACAATGACAGTTTTTGCGACTGGCGCCCCCCTGTGGCAACTGATTTTCCAAGTGGTCTCCCATCCAAGTACTACCCAGGTCCAGCGCTGCTGAGTTTTTGAGATCTGATGAGATCAGGTTTCGACAAGTTAGTATGGCCATTTAGAAAATAGAAGTCAACGTCCAGGTAGGTTCCATAGTGGTCCATTGGTGTATACTAGTCTATGTGTTCTGATACATGGATCATTCTAAAGCTATACCTGCTCAAATGAGTATCTAGTTTCGATTAGTATTACTGATTTTGACAACTCTAATACAATGATTGAGAGAATACATGGATATTGCAAATTCCTGGTAAGATCACACACAGCCATTTTTACAATGGATGCATGTCTGAAGGTGAGCACAGGACACACAGTGATTATCTAGTCTACAACTACAGGTTGAAGATATGACCATTTCTAAAGTGCACCTGGTGCTGTCAGACTGGGCATGTACAAAGACTGGCCATTCTAGCTTCATTATAGCTCTACTTGTAAGTAATCTTAATCTGGTAATTCAAGATATTTAAAGGTTCTACATTATGCAAAATGGACTCTTGTGAGCTTTAAGCCATGTTATAATGGTGTTACCTCTTCTAAAACAGATCTGGAGTTATATTTTACCTCATTCATGCAGGTTTGACTAACACTTAATTATTAGTCTGTTTACATCTCCACAGCTCAAAGTGCTCTGTTCCACCTTGTGATGTCATGTAGTGGTAGTTTTCCAGTTAACAGCTATCTTTTAGTTTTAGTTTTAGTTCAGTAGAGATTGGCATTTTCAGGTGAAATCATCCAAATGATTTTAGTAGTAAAGGTGTATGGGGTGTTTTCAGTTTGAGAAGAACTCAGCCTAAGCATGTGTCTCTGAAACAAAACACAATTTCGGCTATGTTTTTGACGAGGAAACAACATTAGAACATATCAGAAAACAGGGTAGTATAGCCCCTTTAAGAGTGTGCTCTGAAGTACTGAAGTGATTAGCTCAGTTTAAACGTCTCAGTAAGCTTGTAAATACCTTTAATGAATGCTGTAGTGAAAATATAAATGTAATTGCTCTTAATACAAGCTTAACCAGCTGCAAAACAGAACAGAGACTAGACATCGCATATAATTAGTATAGACCCGACCTTAAGGAGAGGACCTCATTCAAGTCTCAAGGGCAAGCTGCTGGGTGTATCTTTCTAGAATCTAAACCACAGACCATAAACTGCATACATAAATGTAATATTCAGTAGACGAACGCTTAATCATTCAAAATCATTGTAACTGATTGTAAATGCCAATCAAGTTTTAATGTCATCTTATTTACAGTATATCTCTACATGTTCCCCATGCGTGACTCAAAATCGCCCCAGTATTAATACAACAAACAACACAAACTATGTGTTCTTACACGAGCACAAGAAATCACTTTAAATGATTCATATTTACCGGTTGTGGTCAGTGTTCTTGCATTATTGAGCCCTATTTCTGTCCCGGTCCTCCAGGCAGACGTGCACACCCTGCGCACCGCCATCTTGCTCTTTTCCTATAGAGCAGTACGGGTCGCACGGACGACCAAAAAGGGTAAAAGTATATTTTTATTGTCAAATGAAATTACTGAAATAAATTACCCCTTCTGGTTATAATAAACGATTCTAAATATTTTATGCCTGTTCTGATTTGATGTTAGTCATTTATTTATTTTTTATTTATTTATTCATTCATTCTTTTTTTTTTTTTTTTTTTTTTAGTACTGCCTTTATTTAGTGATGTTATTATTTTTGTTCATTGATTTGATTATTGTTCTTTTATCTATTGATTTTATTAGTTCCTTTTGTTTGGAACATAATGCTGCAGATTTTTTTTACATTGCACTTGTCCTTTTTTCGTCATTTGCTTTTGCACATTTACAAGTTTAAAACTGTAAAATTTTTGTTTGTTTGTTTGTTTGTTTTTAATAATAATAGCGGATGCAGCACACGTAATATTGCTTTTATTATACCAAATGAAAAGAAAGTTAAAAAGAAAAAAACTTTTTAGTTTTTATGTTTCTTTTTGTCTTATATATGTTTTTAACTTTGAACTGGGAACGTTAAAAAATAGTATAATTTATCGAAGAGAGTCCGTGAACGCGTCATTATTTTATTTTTTTTTGGTGACGTCACGTGAGACGCTAGATTCCGATACCGAAATTCAATCTCCTCCTGTTTGAGTCTGATTTAATGTGCTGCACCGCCCGATTCTAATGGTAACTATTGTTTTAATCTATTTATTTACTGTAAATCTTCCGTATGTGCGAATATACAGGAAACGGCTCCAGTAGAATCTAATGCAGTGACAGATCTGTGCCTGCTAACGTGAGCCGATTGTATCTCTGACAGCCATGCTAACTGCTAGCTCTGTCATCGCTTTGTTATTATATTGTGGCTCATGTAATGATCTCTTTGTTACTGGGTTTTAAGTTTCGATCCTTCTTCTTTTCACTATTCATGGGTTTTAGTTTCCTATTATTTGGTGCCATTTTGAGCACGATTGCCAATATTCTATTCTATTATTCATTTATTACAATATCATTATGTATTTGATTTTATGATTATTAGGCCCTGTAATAAACATATTACTAGGAGGCACACCTTTTTACCCTTGCTAGAATTTTGAGAAAACAAATATCAAATACATGACAATAAACACATTTTTTTAAATCAATAACACCCTTAGATTTAGATTTTGACAAACTTGAGTGATCCACAAGGGAAATTACTTGGACACAATAGCTCACACATCACAATATTATATAATAAAGAGTAAACAATATAAATGGTAATAATAAATTAATAAATAAGTAGCAAAAAGATAGTAAGAGACAGGTAGACATAATTATATAAATGTATATGTACAAGTCAAAATGAAACAGGAAAATAAGTAATACAATTTTAAATCTCAGTTATATACAAGAGGTCATAGGACAGTGTTTCCCAAAAACTGGGTCACGACCCCCAGGTGGGTCGCAAGAGATTTTTTTTGGGTTGCCTTGTCACGATCTGCATGTTGGTCTGCAATATACAAGGCTACATTTAATGTAGCCTTGTATATTGCAGGGCTACATTTAATGTCCAAATAGGCGACTTCTGGAGACCTTTTATTGCTGGTTCAATGACTGTTTTTCATTATTTATAACTTGAGTAATACTAATTGTTCACAGAGACACGATCACTCAATCAACAATAAAATATCCTTATTAATATTCAATATTGGTCAGATCCACTTTTGTTTTGTAATTTACTAATAATTTTTATTGACTTGGGTCGCGAAGTCTGGGACTTTTAAAATATGGGTCCTCAGAAAAAAAGTTTGGGAAACACTGTCATAGGAAAACAGTGCAACAATGATATGATGATATGATATGATGACATAGGATTATCTGTTACGTAAGGGTGAGCTGTTGTACAGTTGTAGGGAGTATTATCTGTTACATAAGGGTGAGTTGTTGTACAGTTGTAGGGAGTATTATCTGTTACATCAGGGTGAGTTGTTGTACAGTTGTAGGGAGTATTATCTGTTACATCAGGGTGAGTGTATTATCTGTTACATCAGGGTGAGTTGTTGTACAGATGTAGGGAGTATTATCTGTTACATAAGGTTAACATTTGTAAATATTCTCTATCCTGAAGTCTTCACTCACCATATTCTTTTGCTAGGTTGAAAATCTTTTAATCAGTCTCAATAAAAAATAAAAATATATATTATTATTATTATTTTTTTACTAGCTGACTAATAAAATATATATATATATATATATATATATATATATATATATATGGTAATCACTGACTAATCACTGACACACTTTTTTAGATCACCAACTTACTTCCCTGAACACTTCAATTCGAAAAGATAACTGCACAAAAGATAACTACAGCTCACATACTGATTTGTGGTATAAAAAAAAAAGAAAAAAAGGGCTGTTGGTGAGTTTTTAATCAATGTAAATTTCATAATTTGGAGAAATTATAAAAAATTATGGTAGAGGCAGCAGTCAGATGTTCAGATGTTGCACAATAAGTAAGTGAACTGTAATTAACCTCAGAAGTATCATGCATTTATGCCTTGCAAGTTTCTGTTCTTTTTTCTTTTTTTTGTAACTTTTTGAAGTTGTCTTTTTATGTATATATCCAGTATTTCACAAGATGATGTAATGTACTTTCTGTGTGAGCGAAGAACTCTGCCTCAGTATGCAGGGTTTGTGTATTAAACATGTGTGAATGAAACAATGAAACAAAACATAACTCCAGGTATGTTTGTGATGAGGAATCAATATTATTAGACACATAGATCCGGAAATAGCGTAATATGGGTCTTGGAAGTAGAGATGGGGTGATATTTCGGTTGGCTGATATACCAGGCCGATATTTGCATTTTTTCTCTTGATTAGGCTCTTTAAGCAGCAAAAATATTGGCAGAATTTATCGTTGATTGGTTTCTCTGGATTCTAAATAATCATATTGGCCAAAAACCCATACCAGTGGAACTCTAACCTAAAGACTTTCTTCTTTGAGCTAGCATTTGTTATTGCTATAATTGACTGTATCTTTTTGATGGAACTAAAGTTTGTCTAAACTTAGTATAACCACGTGTCTTTTTCTTTCATTCTTCTTTCAGCTCGTTCTTCAAAATGGAGTCCCAAAACCATAAAATGATCTGTGCCATCTGCTTGGAGCGTTATAAAGACCCCTGCACCATCCCCTGTGGACACAACTTCTGCCACTCCTGCATCAAATCTCACTGGGACTCCGGAACCAGCTACTACTGCCCCATGTGCAAAGAGGAGTACCACACCAAGCCCACGCTGCGCAAAAATGTGGACTTATGTGAGCTGATAGAGGGGGCGGGCAGCTCGGGGAGGTCCGGTGTGGAAGGACGGGCGGCGGGGGGAGAGGAGGGCGGAGATGTGGAGCTGTGCCATAGACACGGGAAGCCTCTGGTGCTGTTCTGTAACCAGGAGAAGATGACCGTTTGTTATGAGTGCGCGGTGAAACAGTGTGACAGCCACGACAAGAGTATGCTGGACGAAGAGCGGCACAACCAAGAGGTAATGGGACTGGGAAGCAAGGGTTTCTACATCAGTCACTTAGTTTAAGGACCATTTTGAATCCAGGTATAGACCAGATACATATAGAAACGTTAGCAATATACAAGTATGTGACACTACAATTCAACAGCAAATTCGTAATGTGCAATGCAATCATACAGATTTCAAATAGATATAAATGAATAAAAATTATCATGTTCTTGGCACTGCACCATCATAACAGTGTAAAAAACAGTTTATGTTATGTGGTTGGTGGTGAATAAAGATGGCATTAGAGCAGCTGTGGTGTCTGCCAGTACAAGCAGTGTACCCATCAAGTGTGGAGAGTGAAAGGATAATGGATAGTGTGTAGCACTGTAAGAGCCTTCATGTGCAAAGTACAATTCAATCCAAGTTCTATTTCTCATTTCTCTTCTTTTGACTGCATTTGCTGGTATTCATTTACTCTCTATGAGGTTTCTGTATAGTTTACATATAAAACACTGACCCACCTTTCAGTACCTTTAGTTATCATATCCTATTATCTGTACTGATGCATGGCCTATTGCTTCTCAAACTGGTGCGCGTTCTAGGGACGCACCGATACTGATACTGGTGTCAGATATCGGTGCCTGATACTTTGCTGAATCAGGTATCGGTTCATGGTTGGGCTTTTATTCATACAAAGCTATTCATTCGTGATGTAAAGGATAAATAAATAACAGTTACATAACACAACTGGATCTTTTGTGTAATAAGTTAACTATGTTGTAAGGAAATAAGTGTGCTTTTTCCCTCTCTACACTGGGATTGTTTAATAATATCGGTTATCAGTAGATACTGGTAGTCAAGGTATTGATAACGATATCGGCACTAAAAAGCAGGATCGGTACATGTACCTTTGGCAGTACATAGTGCCATCTGCAGTGCAAGTATTTATTTATTTATATTTATATATTTATTTATTGCTTTATTTAGAGACAAATCATTTAATGTTTTTGTCTTCCTTTGGGTGATATTATTTATAAAACTACATGATCCAGGTTTAGATCTGGACTGTGTACTCGGAAATCCAAATATTTTCTTAGGTGGTATGGATGGAGAACCACCAGTTTACTGGATTGGATGCAACGTCATTGATCAGTGAGGTCACTTGTGCTCTCAGTTCAAGTTCAGTTACTTTAAAACAGCTTTTCTGTCACCTCACTTGGTATGCTACTCGTCCTACTAACTTCATACTTCTGTGTTTGTGTCTCAGCTGATTCTCCAGGGGAAAGAGAAAGAAATAGAGAGACTCATCGAAGAAACAGAGAGAAGCTTCCTGAACCTTTCTGAGAACATCAGCCAGGCAGATGTAGGTGACAAGAATGACTATATCAACTTATTGTTCAATATATGATAGAACCATTTGTCACTCCTGTAAAGTAAACCATCACTCTCTGCTCTTAGGTCACCCTGCAGCAAACGTCCAAATGGGTGAATGCCAAGTTCCAGAGCCTTCTGAAGAGCCTGGCGGAGAAGCAAGAGGTGACGGAGCACTTCCTGGAAGAGCAGAGGCAGAGCACCATCACAGAGGCCCAGGAGAGGCTGTCTGAGCTGGAGGAACGTGCACGAAAGCTCAAAGAAAATAAGGAGCAAGTTAGTGCGCTGAGAGAGCTGCCGGATACGGAGCTAATCAAGGTTAGCCTTTATCAAATTTTTGGTGCAGAGTATGGCTAAAATCCAAGATGCACCAGTCCTCCATCCACCATCTATTGCATCCCGCTGGAAGCAAAATCCAAAACACACCTGAGCAGCCAGTCAGCCAACAGTAAATTCTGTAAAAGTGGGAGGATTATTTTTCCCATTGAATAGTGTTATCCTCCACCATGATGGGCTATAGTGCTGTAGTGCTGCAGTGCTTCGCTGACAAAGACATTCTGTTTCTTCTCCTGTGAGATAGAGCTGTGTCCTTCGAGGGCCAATGCTGCTCACACACACAAACACTGCTAACAGAGACATGCCTTCCGCTGGCTTCATATGGGTGACAGGTGGACTGGTGTGCACTGCTCTGGGCTTTAGTCTTGAACTGTATGGTGTGGACCCCCTGTTGCTGTTTTGTGTATAGATCCTTACTATGGGAGGTGACTTGTGCTACATACATCTGTAAAAGGATGACTTGACGCTTGACACCAATTTTTATACTATATTGATAATAAAAAACACTTTTTAGACAAGAGAATTAATATTTAATGTTCAACGTAATTGTATTTTTATATTACGATGGAGTTCTACTCAGAAAAGGTGAGCTTTTGTGTGAATATTTGTATGATCATTATTGGTACTGCTTTGGTATCTGTATTTCAGTTTGTTTTGACTACACTAATTATGAATTATGAGTTTTATTTAAAAAAAAAAAAAAAATCCAAAAGCTGTTTGGATAGGTTAGTAGGCACATACTGTAATCGTTCTTTGTTAATCCATTATCAGTTTAGAAAAATAATAATTACACAATATACATTTTTGTCAATACTTCTCATCCCCAGTCAAATATCCCTGTCATATACAGTACAACACAGCTCCACCCCAAAGCTCATAACCCTTATGATGCTCTAACAGAAATCCATGCTGGTGACAGTGCCGGAGTACCAGCACATCTGCACAGAGGTCAGTCCCAGTCTACAGGAGCGTCTGAGCGGAGTGACCGAAGTGCTGTCCAAGGTCTCCAAACTGTTACATGAGGATCTGGAGCGAGCTGTGGGCACGGCACTGGGCCATGACAAGCAAGGTGAGTTACAGGGTTATTTAAACAGGCGCATAGTGAAACTCTTGATTCTAAGGAAAAGGATGTAATGTCCCTCAACACACTGAAATCTAAAACTGTGCATCTGTGTGTGTCAGCCTCTCCGCAGGACAAGAGGCCTGTCCTGGCTGTGGTCCCTAGTCCAGCAGCACCCTTTGCTCCGGGGCTCAGGGAGGGACTCGATAGCCGTGAGTAACACATGCTGTTTCAAATGTCTTTGTGTACATTAGAAACATGTGACTATGGAAAGTATTTATATGAATGACTTGTTCAAACTTATTAATATATAAATATCCTATCTTTTGAATGGTCCTCAAAATGTTGCCGTGTAATGTAACAGGAAGATGAAACTCAGGAATGGGGCTAGTGTTGTAGTGTACTAGTATTTAACACTTCATAATAAGATGAAGAATATTTTGATAGTTCAAAAATACCTATAATGTTTCATCCACACCATTTTAATACATTCAAATACTTGGATATAGTAGTCATATAGAAACAAGTGATATCATATAGAAACCAAGAGCAACTCATTTCACACAACTTATTACAATCTCCTTCTTGTTTTTTCAGACCGCTGCTCCCTGACCTTTGATCCCCGCACAGCTAACGGTCACCTGTCCCTGTCTCATGGGAACACCCGGGCAGAGCACCTGAGCTCGGGCCCGCGGGAGGTCCCGGAAGACAAGGCGCGCTTCGATCACACCTGGCAGGTCCTGTGCTGCCAGGGCTTCAGCCAGGGAATGCACTACTGGGAATTGGAGGTGTCCAAACCTTGGGCATATGTCGGGGTGAGACATGTTAGAGCCTTTGTCAGTTAGTAGCTAGTTACACAGTTAAGAGCATCAAGTTTAAAGGTTCACTGTGTAACTTTTTGTTTGGGGGTCTGTCACCTGCTTGTTTCTATGGATATGTCATTGCTCTGCCTGGAATGTTCCACAGTATGACCTTAAACAGCTCTACCTTACATTTATTAAATTACTGATGGTTTTATAGCTCAAAAATACAAAGTAGAACAAGCATTCTAACCATGAGTGGTGTTGCCTCTGCACAGATCTGACCTGTAACTTGGTCTGATTTGGTCTCCATGAAGATAGAAATGTATAATACCATACAGTGAAACATTCCAAACAAAAAGCAAAAACATCTCCACGAAGGAACCCTCAACCAGAAAAGTTACACAATCCACCTTTAAAGGGAGAGCATGTAGAATTTGTAGTCTCAACCACAGACAGTCTATGGTCTCAACTTGTAAAAACAAGACACAATATGTGAAATTTAATTGTAGAAAATTGGCGCAAAAGTCCGGCATCTCCGCTCGCTGATATTGTGAAAAAGCACTAAGTGACTGACTACTTTAACCTGGAAGCCCTGCTGTACCTAGACTAGAGCCCGACCGATATGGATTTTGTTGTGGCCGATATGAAACCGATATAATGGGAGTTGGGGCTGCCGATAGCCGATATAATCGTCAATATATTTAGTGATGTAAAAATTCACTGTAAATCTTGAATTGATTAAAAAACTTAGGTTTGGCTCTAGTGAATTCTAAATTGGGTTTATTTAGGCAACATTTATTGTTATTTTGACCCTTTACATCATATTTACATACAGTAGATTGGCCTAATGGCATTTTTGCATCACATTCTAGCTACTGTTACTGTCACTGCTAGTGATGGGTATTCCAGTTTTGTTTTGTTTTTTGGAGAACCGGCTCGGCTCACTAAAGCAGCTGGCTCTTTCGGCTCCCAAGCGACTCTTGAGATTGTTTTGTTGCAAGCAGGACTAAACCAGAACTGAACCAGGACTGAGTGTCGAGACTCGGTTTCTATCTTTCTCCTGCACTGGAGCCCAAGATTAGTCCTGGTTTATTCATTTTATGCTGAACTGCAGCCAAATATGCACTTTTTTTATCCTATGCACACGCAGATTTCTGAAAGTTTCGTTTTCAGACGCTGCTGCTGTCAAACTACGGGTCTACATGCGGCATGAAGAGAAAAAGTGAGAAAAAGAGAAAACACGGCTCCCAATAAGAAACATGCTCCCGTTGTTCGCTTCAAAGAGCCGGATCTAAGAGCCGCTTCGATCGCGACCGACCCATAACTCCTAGCTAGTAAAGTATCGCTATTAGCCTTTAGCCGTAAAAACGTGCGCACCGCGGTAATTAATTATATGCATAAATGTGGATCATTCACACGTCTATTCACAGCTCATTTACATATCAATACTGGTCCAGTAACAAATATACGGCCAATATAGTCACTTTACAATAGACCAATAGAAAACAGCCTGTTTATGTGTGGGAGCTACAGCAGCTAATCGCTAACAAAACCTAAACTAGCTTCAAAGTCGATGTATTTCCAACACTCACCGCTCACACAGGCTCCTCCTCACATCACAAATCTGCACTAATAAATGTCCTTTTAATCCAGACTCAAACCGATTGTCCGAAAAAGAATATAATCTCAGTGTTGCGCACCACTGCGGGTGTAAACAAACACACGCGAGTGAAGTGACGTCACTCTGGTGGTGTGTTCAGGGACAGTACGGACACAGACAAATTACACCGTAGATAAATACTGATGCGGAGCCACATATTAGGACATTTATCTGTCTGTAAATTGGATTAAATGAACATAATGTAGAGAGTCTAAGCTTTATAACGAGATATAACATGCCCACGTGAAATATCGGCCCATATCAGCAAGCATATCGGCCGATAGCCGATATGTCTCTAGGTGCCCATGTTGGCCGATAATATCGGCCAGCCGATATATCGGTCGGGCTCTAACCTAGACCTGTTCAATATCTATAATTAATTCTGGCCATACTGACCTGTCAAAACCTGATCTCATCAGAACACAGAAGCTAAGCAAGGCTGGGCCTGGTTGGTACTTGAATGGGAGACTGTGGGGAATACCAGGTGCTACAGTGAGGCAGCAATGGCAAAACTGTTGTTAGTCTTCACACTTCACCCACATTGCCTAGTATGAAAGTGGTGTGTGTGTGAGTGTTAGTGGTGGTCGGAGAAGCTGATGGGGCAGGTTGGCATCCTCTCTTTCATCAGTCTGCATCATGAGTCTCTCATTTCAGTTGGCAGATCCCACAAGTAAAATCAGTTGACCTCTATGTTGAATGTATAAACTGCTCTCTTAGATATTTGATTTCTCTTCTACTCCTCTGTTACTCCACTTTGACAGTTCTAGGTATATATATATATATATATATATATATATATATATATATATATATATATATATATATATACATATACATATATATATATATATAATATAGTGATGTAAAATTCCCCCAAATATTATTTGGCATTGGTGTATTTGAAGTATTTGAATTTAACTTTGTGCTTGTGCTTTTTGCCCCAGGTGACGTACGAGTCCATCCCAAGGAAAGAGAAAGGTAAGCGCTGCATGGTGGGTATGAACGACCTGTCCTGGAGCCTGCAGCTGGACGAGAGGCAGCTGAGCGCCTGCCACGGGGGGCGACAGGAACCCGTGAGTGGACCCCCTCCCCCGCACTGCCGCATCGGGGTGCTCCTGGACTGCGATGCGGGCACCCTCACCTTCTATGGGCCAGACCAGAGCCGCCTGCACGCCTTCCACTGCGCCTTCACACACCCGCTGTACCCCGCCTGCTGGATCGGGGAGGGAGTCAGCGTCAGCCTCTGCCCCCCCGGGACATGAGGCCAGAGCAGTAGCACAGAGGACATGTCTGACTCTTGGCTTTTTTAAACATGGGAAATCGACATGAGTTAACATGAACTGACTTAAGAATATTTTGTTTCAATATTGTTTGTTCAAGCTTGCCTGGGATCCAGAATACACACCTCTCCAATACTTTAGATGTGAGTCATTGGTTAATCTCCCTGACCTTAGATGGATGTATTTTACAGGTGGATTAGCCAATAAGGCCACATCATCTGTCCATAATGCATAATGTACAAAAAAAATACGGCTGCTTAAGAGGAAAAAAAGTTAAAAATATCACAAGGGACCATAGACTTTATACAGTTTATGGTCCCCTGTGATATTTTTTTCCTTTTAGTGCAAGGTCACCCATAATGTTCGTCTCCAGTCAAATGAAGCTCACAAGCCTAGCAGTTATAGGTATGAATTTGAAGCCGAGTTCCATATTAGGAATAGGAATTTATTAACGGGCAAAACAGTGAAATAAAATACCATATCATGTAGAAATTAAGTGAGAGATATGTAATTTTATTGGTAAATGTGAGGTGACCAATGATCTCCTTCATTTCACATGCGTCACTAAAATAAACAAATCTGATTGGACGATCTTTTTGGTTCTGGCTCGAGACACGATGGTAACACTTCATAATAATTACACTATTTACAGTCTTAATAAAGCATGAGCAAAGACTTAATTCATAATGAGCAAATAGTTAATAAATAAAGATTCAGTCTTAGTAATTTCTTAATTAAGGGGCTAGGGTTAGAAGTCAAATTTTGCTTTATTAAGGCTAATTAAAGTGCAGTGTAACCAAAAAATTTACTCCATGGGCAGATCATTTTGCTGGAAATATAACAAAAATAAAATTATAACCAGAAAGTATTACCATTTAAATTTTTATTCAAGTTACTGTACATTATCAATTTTATATTGCCCTGAGGAGGTAACTAAGACAATAGCGGCTTCTGAGAGTTCACATTTCACTCTGCATGGTTGGTTACATCCACCTGTCAATCACTCAGGACTTAGTCAATAGAAGAACAGATGTACAAATGTAACCAGTGAATCACAATCTACTAATGTCACAATCTTGATTTCTGTTGCAATAAATATTAAGTTAATTACTTGGGCTACTTAAATCCACATGACTATTCTGAATTCAAGTCATCCTAACTCATGTAACTCAGCCTTTGCAGATCTTAATATGTTGTATTATAGCCTTTTTTAAATTTTCTTTGCACTTATCATTTGAAAAAGACACTCGCGTTTGGAGGATTGATTTCTGGAATCAGTGAAATGTCCATAAAACTGGTGCTATGTCTTTGACTGTTTGACTTCTGTTCCTGCCCTTAGCGGATACACTGAGCCCAGAGTACAAGAGTCAAGACCATTCATCGTTGTTTTTGGATAAAGTACTTCATATTTTCACATTTCCCCAAACATAACTACCCAGTGCTCAGATGCTGTACAAGTATAGTGGTAGTCTGTACTTACAATTCCCTATAAGCATAGGATGACCAGATGTCCCTGTTGACTCAGGACAGTCCCAGTTTTGAGCCTTGTGTCCCCTGTCCCAGCAGATTTATATAAAATCAGTGATTTGTCTCGGTTTTATAAGAAATGCCCCAGGTGTCCCTATTTTTTGACCAATTTGATCCAAACCAAGTCTCTTTTTTTTTTTTTTACTTAAGCAAAAGTACAAATACAGCAGGGGTTAAAAATGATTCAAGTAAAAGTATAGTATAAAAAGTCCACTTAAGTAGTGAAGTAGGCTACCCATTTAAAAATGTATTTCAACAGTAAAAAATATTTCTAATTTTGAGAAACAATTGTTAAATTTTTTTTTGCTATGAACTGAATTTTTTAATGGTGTTACTGAAAAGCCTGAGTGTTGTGAAACTGTTGTAGTGTTACATCTGAAACTGTTTAATAATGGACACCTCTCTTACTAGAATTTATTTTGTCACCTCTGCTGTGTATGTATTAAATGTATTTTGTCAATGTTATTATTTGCAAATATGGCCAATGGGCAATGCCAAGTTTGTATTATTTAAAAACTTTGCACAAATTGTATGAAAGACATTTTTTGAGGGACATTAAAATGATAAAACACAAACTTGGATTCTGGACTATGATTTTTTTAATATATAAATTTTCTCTATTGTGAGATAGGGCCAAAAAAAGCAAAGAGTGAAGTTAGGCTGTTTATTAAAATCCATTGCACACATACAGTACATCACAGTAGTTTAATAACCATGCTAATAATTGTATAGACTTTTCAAATAAATAAAAAATACATTAGTTATTATTATTTTACACAGAGCCATAACAGAGCAATTCCAATGCATAGCAACTGCTGAGAATTAGCCATAGATTGAGATTTCACAGTAGACCAACAACAAAATTGGGTGATTTTGAAAAAAAAAAAAGTTTATTTAGTTTGACTGTGTGATTTCTAGAAGACTCTAACTGATGCAAAAGCTGAAAAAAAAATGACATTATGTTACAAAGCTAATCCGTGCTAGCATCATTCCCTCCTTTTCAATCTTTATTAGGGCAAAATACTCTTAACTAATCTTACAAACGTTTCTTTACAAAATTGTACTTCAAAATTCTCCAAAATATAGCATATCTTCAAGTGCGTAGCCTATACACAAATAATACAAAATAAAATACTGCTTTTAGCCAGCGTTAGCATAACCAAGTTTAGAAAATTTTGCAGTTTCCAAGCAGAGCTAAAGCTAGCATGTGAGCTCGTTTCCGTCCAAGCCACACTATTGAGTTTTTAGTTACTTTGGCTAACAATGCTTCATTTTTTAGCTACCAAAGTTCACATTTTTATAAGTTGTGGTTGTAAGGAAGCAAGAATAGCGTTTGGTTACGTTGAAATAAGAATGGAATTAAAATAGAAAAGAAAAAAAAAAAAAGAAAAAAAAAATTCCAAATCAAAATACTTATCTCGGGTGGTGATAAATTATAGAAAAACTAATTAGGAATGCTTCAGTCTAGAAGAGATGAAGGGAAGAGCAAATTTACTGGTTCTTCTTGTCTTCTGGGGGAGAATAAGGAGGTGGTTTGTCCTAGGAGAGAGAGAATATGGCACTTTTATTTATCATTCTGCTGAAATGTATTAAATCTTAAGTTATTTCTTTATTTAAAAAAATAATTAGCAAGCATAGAACCTCAGTCAGAAATTTAATTATACAGAGAAATCAGTTCAAACCACTGTTTGTTCAAATCAAAAGTGAAAGTGCCAAAAAAAAGATGTTAGATGATTCATGCCCACAACAAATATAAATTAAATTGATAGTATGAAACCTTCTGGAGGTGGAAAATCATCTGCATGATCCCATGGAAATGGTAAGTTAAAACCATACTTAATTCTCCACAGAAATAGATAAGTTTTATACTGTGGAATATCATAGTTAAATGAACAACATTTCCATGGAAACTCTAGAGTCAGGTTTGTTGAGATGCAACACTCACAGTTAGGACACATGTTTTTCTATGTTTGTCAGTGCACTAAACACATTCATTATGGAAAAAACATGCTTTTATTTTAGTCTATATTTTGACCAAAAAAGTGACATACTATATCTTTAATACAGGTATTTATGATTTTTTTTTAAAAATATGCTATAGTTTGGCTACATAATAGTAAATATTAAAAAAAAGTGTGCAGACACATTCAGTCCTTGAGTGAGAAGGGGGTGATCTTACCTCTGGCAGGTACACATGTGTGGGGGGCAGAGTGTAGGTGGCACTAGCTGCAGCCTCTGCAGCTTTGGCCTCTGCTTAAACACACAGGGGACCAGTCAGTGCTTACACTCTAAATGCACTTCAGAGCTACAGATGACCATACAATCTTATCAGCTCAAGGTTATACATGGGATATGGGTGTTTTTTTCAGATTTTTCCGTTTATCTATTATCCTAATTTTGTATATATTCTTCTTCAAAACAACAATTTCAATATTATTTTAAAGCTAACAAATTACCTCCTTATAGCAAGACTGGGAAGTGTACCTTCCCAATGTGGACAGATATATCTTACTAGTTCAGACTAGTTAGACAACCAGTTCTGGTTGTCATCTTGTTTAGTCTTAGGTTGCATAATCCTAATTGTGTATGGTGGAACATCAAAAGCCAATAACATAATGGGAAAGATTTAGTTATAGTCAATTGATGCACTAATTCACATATTAAATAAATGTATATACGCCATTAAGAAGCTATTAAGAAGTTTGTTTGAAATCCTCTGCTGGTAAAAACGCAAATGTGAAAAGGTGAAACTAATCAAATTTCAGTTTGTTACAGGAAGTCAGTGGTCCTATTTTTATTATAAAGGTGTCCGTTTTGCAGCATAATACCTTTTCTTTAAATGAAAACCTATGATGAGCATTGTTCACTGCCAATTTATGAAAGTTTATGAGTTACAATGCCCTATAGAAACTGCCATAAAATTTTACTATTACATAAAGATAAAACATTACAAAATCATTGCCCTAAGCAAACACAGACTGCTTCTCATTTCTTCTTTATTGTACTGGTTGTATTGGTATTGTATTGGGGGCAGAGGGGGCACAGGAGGCGGGGGGGCAGAGGGGGTATGGGACTGACCTGCGGCGGACATGGGCAGGTCTGGGTTGTGGGGGGGCTGCTGACCCAGAGGAGCAGAGTATGGAGGGGGAGGGGGCATGTAGCCAGCAGCTCCATCAAACGCAGGTGGACTGGGGTAGAAACCTCCTAGAACACAAATATTTGAAAGTACAATGTATGCATCATTATGTTATGCATAAACCAATATGGCCTAACTGTTTGATAAGATAGCAAATATGTTGGGATAATTTACAACATAATAACCAACAAAAAAAATCACTTACTTATTTGGCAAAATAATGTACAGTATATCATGATTTTCTTGGAGCAAGATCACAATTTCAGTGTTATCACTATTCATAGACTTTTTCCATTGCCTTTTAAGGTAATTTAAGTCATCATCTTGACTTGAAAATGGGTGGGGAAAAACTGTCTGTGTTTAAGAAGACAGCTGCATTAAATGGAGAAATAGTGAATCACATTTTGACAAAATGACAAAAAATAAAAGTTTATTTAACTGAACATTGTCTGTGATTTTTTTCCAGTTTTGAGGTTTGTTATTTCATACAGCTGATAGACTTGCTATTCTAACTATGTATTTCTTCAAAACAGTAATTTTGATATAATACAATGCTTACCAGCTTGGGGTGTGTTGGGGTAGGCGTATCCCGGGGGTGCTCCGGCTGCAGCATACATGGCATTGGTCGGAGGTGGGGGGTATGCGTATGCCCCGTTAGCCATGTAGGGACAGCCGCCAAAGCCAGCAGTCACAGGCTGACCTATAGAGGCTAGAAGAACAAATACAACAACATGGAAATGATCCTTTTATTCACAAATGCTGCAGCTGGTATTATAATGAGGGCATATGACAGGTTTTAATGTTTTTCTATTTATGACTTGGTTTGGTGGGATAGTACTCGTGTGGCCAGTATGTGTATAGTTTTACATCAGTTAAGTGGCAGATAGAGGAAAAAAAAATAGAGAAGAAAATACAAAAATACAGGAAGTAGCGGTGAATTACCCCTACCCCCTACACTGAAACACATGTTAATGTGGTAGCATTGGTGACAAAGACCTTTTGCGGAGCATTGCACAGAATCTTACAGCTAATTGTAAAGAGGGTTCTAAAAGGGCCCAGGACAGATCACCAAGATACTGAACATTGATGAAATCCAAATCTCTTCAGACATGTTTTGTTTAGCTGACATGGTAGAAAAAAAAATGTTTTTTCATAATGCTAATGGTGTTTTAGTGTGTAGTCTAACTTCTCATCTGCATTATAAAATAAATAATAACTTTAAAAATTAATTACAATCCAGTTTAGTTCAGCAATGAGGACAAGAAGGTCTGAAAGGTCATTTTACTTTAGTTGTGGCTGTAGTAATGTGCCTTTTAATATTGTATAAGGTCTTAGAACTACCCAAGGGTACTTTGGGTGTTTTAAACGGTCATCATTCACTAAAATGCTATTTCAGTCAAAACTGTGTCTAATAATTTATTTTAGTTTGGTTCTAGTTAGTATTACCTTGAGCGGCCACCTGCAACATGTACTGTCCAAACTCTATGGCCCCTCCAGCCAGAAACACCATCTTGAACGTAGCACTGCCCTCCCATCCACCTGTCAAAAGAACAGAAGAGTTTATGCATATGTAAAGTGTACAGTACAAACATTGCATTGACATCACACTGGAGGGGTACTGCATGTAGTACTTTGAATTACTTAGTGCACGAATAGTGCTGAACAAATAAATTTCCCTTGCCTTGTATGTCTGTGGCGGAAGTTTTCATGTTGCAGCAGTTATCATGATGACACAACACACAATGACACAATTAACAGCCTAATTTTAGATTGTCTGAAAACTCAAGAAAAAATTTAAAATGGATTTCAGCAGCACATTTTCAGGAGCCTGTGATCAATACAAATGTTCATGGTCCTGTTTAGGTGTTTGATTTTCAACAAGAAAGGTGAGAGAAGCAAACTTAAAAACAGCTTTCCTGCTGTAGTTTCAGCTAAATCAGTTTTTAAATGAGTCAGATTGTGACAAAGGTCAGATTAAAATCTAACTTGAGTAACAGATTTTAAGACAGAGCAGAGCCTCCAGTTAGCTTCACCTCCCAGGAAATGTTGATGACATGTAATGTGTACTAGGCTGCATTCATGTGACATTACAACACTCTAGAATTTCCATAGTAAAAAAAAATATCTGGAGGACAGGTCAGAATTCTGTGGTGGGATTTGCTGATGAAATGTCAGACTGCAGATTTGTTGACCTGGTTTATTTCTCTGCAATGCCTGGACCTTTGCAAATTAAATAAAAACTGGCACAAAGTTCAACATCTTCTCTGTCAGCATATATAACCAAAATGAAATGCTGACCATAGCTTCACACCTTGATTGTATTTTTTAACCCAATTCTTAGCTGTCAATTGAAAGGAATTTAAGATACAGGAAATGTAAGTATATAATCCCATATAAATAATGATCACATTCAGGATACTGTATGTGGGTTTAGTTTTGGTAAATGTTCTGTTGTGAGTACATGCTCTCACCTCCAGGCTCGGCACTAACAGTGCCTTTAATGTAATTGGCTCCCAGGACGGGCTGTTTAATCTCACAGCCCTTCATCAGATAGAAGGGCATCATGAAGGAGCGCAGTGCATCTTTGCCTTTAGCCACAAAGATCACCTGTAACAGAAGAGAGTACAATTAATACGAATTAAGCGCAACAGGGCGTTGACGATAAAGTTCACTGTAAAGATTTGTTGAGAACTGGGAATTACAGGATTCCCTCATGCTTTGTTACATAGGCTGATGTTTTTCTCATTCTCACTATATGGAGACACATTCTGCTTTCTGGTTGGCTAATTGTCTTGAGAACCAAAAGATCAAATTGTAACATAAACAGCTTGGCCATCCTGTTCAATGTTTTTGTCATTATACATACTAATACTGTCTTCCATGATGGAAATATCAAACAACAAACAAAATCTCCCTATTCTTGTAATCACCGTTAACAAAGATATTCTTCTTATTATTTATTAATATTATTATTCATAATTTGCAGATTCAAGAATCCTCTTTATTCTCCACATTTTCCACTACTCACTTTCTCCCTCTCATAATGACTCAGATTAGTGTGCTTTATATGGGCCTGTGGACAGTGATACCCTGGGCTTTACACTCTGCACACTAGACTCTCTGAATAAAGCATGAGGCATCTCACCCTGTACGGGGTCAGGTAGATGCTGCCTTTCTTGCTTTTTTTGAAGGCTTCGGGCAAACTGTCGGCATCAGAGAAGGCCAGCTCCACGTTGTCATGGTTCATCAACACACTGGAACAGGCAAAATCAGAAGGTTGTAGTTATTATTATATGGCTATTGTAAAAACTGATAAGATTTGATATTGTTATCAAAATTGTATATGGTAGTTATTTAGTTATATTTCAATAAACTGAATCTTCCCACCATAATAATTTCATGAGACATCAAAGGCTCAAACGGTAAAAAACAAAGCAAAACAAAACAAACTATGATATTATATTACTTAAGAATCAATTACCTAAGAAGTAAAATGTTGTAAATACTGGTAGTTAGCCATGCCCTTTTATCATATTTGAAGTCACAGCAGAATTGTAATGAATGAAATATCTTCATGATTTATATATTTATTTAATGATAATGAATAACTTACAACTTTAGCAACTACTTTAATTATAATTATTTATATTCATATTACCATTGTTGTTGTTTTTTAATTTTTTTTTATTTTGTTTTACTGAGATCTCCAGGGGTAAATAAATCTTTATCTGTCAAAAAAGAAATTGAAACTGAAATTTAACAACTAAAATTGCTGTTATGTTTTGACTATGGGTATAACTTATTGTACCTGTAGTAACTTGTCATTCTTGTAATTTTGTTCAGAACACCCTTTCAAAATAACAGAAGTTTTGATGCACATGATTAGGCCAAAGGGGGGTTTCTACTTTCATAACTTGAGCCACAGGATGACATCATACTTGTGCAACTGCCCCTTTTCCAGACATGAGCTTTCACATGCTGACAGTAAACATGAGTGCAGTAACAGGATTAAATGTAGCGACAGGCTCTGATGGCTTTACCCAAACAATCCGGTGGGTTCTAGAAAGATCTGGCAGCAATTCTCAGTTTCATTAGACCAAGTTTGCGTAATAAAAGCAGAATGTTAGCTGCTTTGAATGTTAAATGTATGTATGTGTTTGCAACTGGGTGTATGTCGGCTAATGATAAGATGCTATTCAATGACAACAGTGCATGTTAAGAATACCACAAATTAGTAATTAATTTTTGATTTATTTTGAAATTGTCTGGATAATTGTGGACTAATGAAGATAACTGGCATTACATTAAAGATTAAGGCATTACATTTGGAAAGAAATTCGACTGTAGTTCTGTAAATATAATGTAACAATAACTAACTTTATGTAATATGGAAAGGAGAGACTTTAGATTTAACTTTTGTTCACATCTTTTTAGGTATCTTCATTTAAAATGCTACAAAATAGGCAAACTAGGCTCAAGGCAATAAGGCAATCTGGCCCCCTGTGACCCCAGCCCTTGGGACAACGGATGGAAATTAGCCTTAGGCTACAATCCGGTGTGTTTACATTCATGTTGTCATGTTTGTTCATTAACATGCTCTGTCCCAATCAAATAAATAAATAAATAAATAAATAAATAAATAAATCCATTCTACAAATAATCAAAGCAATATTAAATGTCTATCAGCAATAACTAACTAACCAACCAACCGGTTAAATAGATGAAATAGTCTGTATACGGTACAATGATGGCTACTATTATTCTGTTTAATCTGTGTTTGTTTCTTGAATGTCGTAGTTTAAACACCCTCAAACATGGCTAACGTTACTAGTAGTGAAGCAAGCTAACGGTACCTTTCGCTATTGTTGATGATTACACCACCAGATTCCGAGTGGTTCTGGTTTAAAGTCATGTCGACAGCCCTTCACCGCCTTAAAACCAGTCCAAATGCAGATGATCTGACAATTCTCCGCAGCTGGAAAAGGTACGATCAGCACGAACGCAGCCTGTGACAGATTGGGCAGCGATGCGATGCTTGTAATGTTTACGCTGTGAATGAAATGCACCTGCTCTTCCGTATCACGCACACGCCTCCAATGTTACGTAATGACGCTCTCGACAAATCATCACTCGCGGAGACTTCTTACGTGAAATGGGACAGATGGATATTTTCGGTAAAATAATCCTTCTTAACCAGCACTGTACAGGGGATAATTAGAAATAATGTGCATCATGTTGATACGACTTTTAGTTCAGATACAATGCAATTTTACTGTCAAATTATAACTCTAAATGCCCGTAAATTTCGTCTTGAATTTCACCCTTCCGCAGAAAGTAAGGGGTCGTCAGAATGTAGTCCCAAATACCAATGCATACAGTTTTAATACTTGTTTTCTGTATGTTACTGTTATATTACAGTTATTTAAATGGCCAAATTAGGCTTGCCATGTTATTATTCTGACATTTTGTATTTTTTATTTTTATTTTTATTTATTTGATAAGCCTCGTTGTAATATTGACCGACGTGACGTTACAGCCATATGGGAATGATGCAAAGTGATGCAAATATCGTGTTTTGTTTGGCAGTCCTTGTTCCACATATTTGTTTGCCCTGCCCGAAAACAGCAGACCTATATCTCCACATGTGACCACAGAGGCACAGCACAGTTTCCTGTTTTAATTACTAGTATACTAACATCTGTTTTTATCATTTCACACAGGTTCACCACTTCTGGATATTTTGAAGTCACACACAGTACTACTACTACTACTGCTGCTACTACTGCAGTTTTGGGGTTCTGCTCAGTACCCATATGTGACTTTAGCGCTGTACTTTAACCACCGCGTTCCAAAAAGAAAGTGAGCATGGGCTCGCTTCCGGCTCCATCGACTCTGCCGGCTCTAGTTAACTTTGTATTGAAAAATCATCGCCCCTCTCTCCGTAACTGCTGCTGTCATTCTCCTCATTTTGGTTTTAAAACGTTTGTATTAACCTGATCTGTGTGAGCCTGTTTTTCTATTTTGCTATTTTCTCTGTTAATCAGTTCCTATTCCTAATATGGAACTCGGCTCCAAATTTGCCCCATAACTGCTAGCATCAGTGAACTTCATTTGACTGGAGCCGAACGCTATGGGTGACGTCACACTCTGTTAGTCCACTTCTATATACAGACACTGTCACGTCTACCCTCTGGTTGGTGGGAAAACACTGAACCTACTGCACCACTTTTGGCTCAAGATAATCTATTATAATAAATAATTTATCTTGAAAAATTCTTTTATAGACAAGTATTTTAGCCCAACATAAACTACCAGGTATAGTGTATGTACTGTGCTTTATACAAAGTAAATATACCTTTTTATGGATGTATTTGAAGGCAGGGCTCATAATCATAGGTACACAGTGTAAATACAAATACATTACAGCAAACACAGGTGGCCATTGTTGACTCTTACACAAGCTGATTATACTACTACACATTTGCATTAGGATTTCTAACCTAGCTCTAGTGACATTATTATTATGATTATTAAGACATTATGTTTTAAAAGTAACTATTAAATATTTTATTATGTAGTCATTATGATTTCCTCTGAGGCCCTAAAATCAAAACCAATTTGTAATTCAATAGAGACTAAATAAATACTAACCTAAAAATTTTTGACTATCCTCAAGTGGTGACAAATAGTGTAGCCTGAATTCTTAATTCGTCTATAGTAGGTGATGCAACCTTCTGAAAGTAATCTGTATAATAGTGAAAGTAACTGACTGAATATTTCACTTGTAAATGCTAATATAACTACAGCCATTTTAAATATTGAGCCTAAACTCAAATTAGCAACATCTATGAAATCATCCCGTTTTATCTAACTTCCTACGTTATCATGTTGCCATTTTAAGTCAGTATCATTGTAATCTTCATTTACCCATAATCTTGTGTTGCCAATATTACACAACAGAGTCCTTTGACTGAACATTGATTATAATACATTCTTTATTTTAAATTCAATATAATGCAAACAGTAAATGCTAGCATAACTATGGCTGCAGTTTTATTTAAAACAATTTGTAATATTGATTTAAGTGAACTTAAGATTTTATATATCTTACATATTACATTATTACCCAATTTAGAAAGGAACTTGGCCAATTTGGTCAAACTTCCTATGTTATCATGTTGCTACTTTAAGTCAGTATCATTATAACTTGTCATCTTCACCTGTGCATTTGTAATCTTGAGTTAACCTAACTTATTATGGATGCTATATTTTACAGTGAAGCCAGAATGGGTGATGGGACGTACAGATGCACCGAGAATAGTTCGAAGTTGCTGTTGCTGGAGGTGGCACCTTGTACAGGAAATGAGCACTTCCGGCTTGTACTGCTGCTGTCACACTCAAACACTGCACTCTGCTTCCCTGTGTACTGCACACTGGAAGCTCTCATGGCAGCATCGCCAAACCCGGGACGCACCAGACTCCAAGCCCCACAACAGGTATCTACAAACCACATTCAAAACTGTTCTTTGTAACTGCATATTGTACTTCAAGACAGTACTACATACATTTACTCAGTACTTTAGTAACTTTTTAAAGAAATTTTACTCTTCTAGCAGCATACTTCTATTCTTACTTGAGGAATATTTTTTATAGAAGGAACAATATAAAATGGTTTGAACATTTGTGTTTCTTTCATCACTCCTTCAGATATGATTTAGTATTTCTAATTTTTGTGCCTATCCTTTGAAAATACTAGATTTTGTGTAAGTCTATTATATTAAAATCAAATCAGTTTAAGTTACTTAGGTAGTAGTTTTCCCAAATACTTTTTAGTCTCGAGTATTGTCTTGAATGTCTGAAATAAAATTACTTGAGTACAATTGTTCTCACGTAATGAATACCCATCTCTGCTTCCAGCTTACTAGTATTCATTAGAAATTCTGTTTAAACAAGGAAGCTTTTAAATGTTAAGAATTGCCCAACAGATGTGTAGAGGAAATAGGCCGACAATGTTCAAAAAGACTATTTTAGTTGCCATGACATTGAGTCATAATTATTTTGGATGTAGCATGTGGTGTATGACTGAGCTTATATTGTGAGTCTCTGGTAAGTCTGTTTTCAATGGAGAGGATTTCAATAGAATTTTACTATATGGGAACAGTGCTTCCTGTGTTTTTGCATTATTTTTATTTTATTTTACTTTATTTATTTATTATCCACTTGAGATGGAGTAATGTGAGAAATGTTTCATTATCAGCAATAGAGGAAGTTGCTAAGATGTGTGCCTTATCAGTGATCAACAGTATCAGTAATACTTAAAGCCAAACCACGTAACTGTTTAGGCCAAAAAATAGACTCAAATAATATCATGTTTTTCCATTTTCAGTTTTGTTTTACTGGGCTGCAAACATAGAAAAACAGCACCCTTACTGTGAGTGGGCTTGCATCTCCACAAACCTGACCCCTCCACCTGTATGTTTCCATGGAAATGTTTCATTAGCTATAATATTCCACAGTGTAGCATAAAACATATCTGTCATAATGAAAAAAATTCTGAAATAGGGTTTTACTGTTTCCAGGGAATCATGCAGATGACATCTCCAGAAAGTTACACGTTGTTTCTTTAATATGCTTTAATAAGTTATGTGTTAAGTTCTAATAAGCCAGCAAAATGATGTGATATGTACAATGTTAAGGCTTAAAACACATCGAATGACAAGGAAAAATGTGTTGGATCATAAATAGTTGTGCTATTGTGGTTCAGCCATGTAAAGGAGGTTTCAGAGATGGGTTGTTCAGTTACTTGAGTAACTTTTTAAAGAAATGGTACTTTCCAAAGTACTTTTCTAACAGTACTTTTGCTTTAGTAAATGTTTTGGTTCCTCTTCCCACTGTGAGTAAGTGTACAAGTGATAAAAGCTTTATTTTGACAATATGAAATGATTTGAACATTTGAGTTTCTTCCGTAAACAATTCCAGTACTATCGCTAATCCAATGTCTACCGATACAAGTGCAGAGAGAGCATTTATTTCCAAAAACAAAAAAGAAAAGAAGATTTGGATCACTTCTGTCTTTTTTTTCTTTTTGTTTTAAGGAAATAAATGCTGTTTTCAGTCTCTGCACTTGTATCAGTTGATATCGTATTTATCTCTCAAACCACTACAGAATAACTTTGTGTTATTAAAACATTTGTGACCAATAAATAGTCTTATTACATCAATTTATTTGCCCAATCAGGATATCAGCAGAAGCCATATTTGTAAACTGATATCCAAATCAGCATTTGTTCTCAGTATCACCACCGATATACAATACCAGTATCGGATCTGTGCATCCCTAGTCCAGACAGTTACTCTTTAAATTACTCTTACTTGGGTAATTCCATAGACCACTGATTTGTACTTTTTTAGTGCTAGTTTTACTTGAGTATAGTTTCTGGCTACTCTACCCACCTCTGCAAGGTTCTTATATTTATAACTGTGCTTTCATTTTAATAGGGCCCTAATGCTGGACGACATAGACAGGTACGATATAGAAACTAACTGCATATTTTAACCACTGAATGTTGCATGTGCTGTGTGTTTATTTTAATCACTTGTATTTTCTTATTTCGTTGTGACCACACATTAGGGTTGCCAAAAGTATAAATAGACAGATACTATTCTATACGAAAAAGCACTCAAACTAGGTGTTGTATCTAACTTTTACGTTGGTGGGTCCTGTTCCTCATTTTTCCCATGGACGTGTCGCTTTGCCTGGATTTTGTTCAAAAATAGTTGGATAGCTTCTTACTGCGGGTGGGCTATTGATTTCCAAGGTGACAAGCTGGTGGCAGACACTAGAAAAGTTACATAGTGCATAGTTTAAAGGTCCTATATTACACAAAATTGTCTCTATTACCTCCTCAAACACAGACCTGGGGTTGTGTTTTGTTTCATTCACACATGTTTGAGTAACTCTTTATTATTATTAGTTTCTGTCCATGTCTCCAAAGCTTGAAATGCTCTGTTCTGCCTTGTGATGTCATGAAGCATTATTTTTCAAGTTAACATCTACTTTTAGCCTATAGTTAAGTAGAGATTGGAAATTCCAGGGCTTGAATTATTGAAATGATTCTACTGAAGTGTATGGTGGGGCACTTCTTGCACCATCATCATAAGGTGGAACAGAATGCAGGGTTTGTGTGTTTTAGGTATTAATGAAACAAAACGCAACTTGAGTTATGTTTGTGATGAGGAAACAGCATTATAACATAAATTAGAAAACATAGTAATATGAAACAATATGAAACCATTCAAAATTGGACATTTCCTGAATAGTTTTAGAATGATCTTGATCTGCATCTCAACTAGTGTGAGACCCAGTGTTGTGCATGAACGAGTTCAAAAGAACGCATTCATTGAACACGTTCATTTTTCAGTGAACTCTGAACTGAACGTAACACATTTGTAAATCAAGAACTTGAATGTGAATTTGTTCAAATTGGTAAACGCACAAATACTACAATAGATCCATGGTCTCTACGTATTTTGACGGGGATACATGCCTATGTTCACGAAGAGCGTCAAAAAAAAAAAAAAAGGATGGATGGATCCTGTTTTCTGAAATCTACGCGTGCAGGACGCGCTGCTCCTAGCGCATCTCGTGCCTGCAGTGAAGCCGCCCTCATTCACTTTCCATGCATTCTTCAAATTACACGCCCAAAAGTTGCAGTGACATCCCTCTGTCACAGAAAGAACACATATAGTCTTGTCCTTTAGTCCAACAGAAGCTGATGCATTAGGGCACAAGGAAAAAGCTGCTTTTTTCCAGTGTTTACAATTTATGCAAATTAGCCATGCGGTTTTAAGTTTAGTTTCTATAAAACGTAAACAAATGTGGCAAAGATGAATTAAACACATTATAATCTCAAACGGGCTAATGTGGCTCTATAGTGCTTATGGTTAATATCTTGTAAAGTTGTTGTAAACTTAAAATAAGTGCAGCCTTTCATTTACATTTCTCACCTAAAAATATAATGAACTGAACTTTGAGCTAGTTCTAAATTAAAATTGTGAACTATGAACGTGAACTGTTCACTTTGAACATGTGTGAACTAAACTTTGAACTAGTTCGTGAAAAGTGTGAACTTGCACAACACTGATGAGACCACAGATACATAACATTAAAGAAAGTATTTCTTTGTTAGAAATTACTTGAATGCTTGCCACATCTGTGTCTCCATGGAGATGTCATTGCTTTACCTGGAATGTTCTACTATGTAGCCTTAAGCAACACTTATTTATTTCTTTTTTATTTATTTTTCTTATTTATTTATTTCATTTATTTAAAAAAAAATATTTATTTCACTTATTTATTTTAACTTCTGGTCATTAGCTTATCATTTTTGTCCTTGTGATTTTGTGACTATATTAACTTTAGTTTTCAATCAGTAATTAAAGAAAATCCTAATAATAATTGTATAATTATTCAACATAGTTACTTAATACAGTTTTACAATACAGACATATACATTGATTAGATTTTACATATTGATATTTTGTCATTTTTTATAGACTCATGATTGACGATTATATAAATGTCTTTTTTCGTATTTCCAGTCTTCCCCCGGTCATGTACGCAAATTAGGTTTGACCAGGAAGCGGGACAGAAGAGTGAGTTGCTCTTAACATGTGTTCAGTGTATCTGAATCCTGTGACTGCTTCCACATTGTAAACACGTTCACTTGTCTTGTAGGACATCAAAGAAGATGAGAACCCAGAGGAGAAAGCCCGGAGGCACAAAGAGTTTGAGGTGCAGATTCATCTGACATCAATACTTTTTAAACTGCTCATGGTTTAAATTTGAGCTGATGGGAGCCTACCAGTAGGATTAGGCAATCAGGGACATGCATCCTCTGCCCATAACAAAATAAATATGGCAAAAACATCGTAAATTTCTGTAGAATCAATTAGTTAAACCTAAACTCTGCTCATCTGAGGTGGTAATATAACTTTGTTTGTAAATAATGAGTGACCAATGAGCCCCTTTATTTCATAGACCCCTCACCAGAAAAGTATAATAGTGCACCTTTAATAAAACTCTGTAGTTGTTTTGCAGCTGAAGCCCCTGTACAAAGAGCTCCTGTACACCATAGCTCACCAACTGGGGAAGGCGTCCAGTCCTGAGGTGTACTCCCAGGCTCAGCTGCAGCAATATATCCAGGAGGTGAGCAAAGCGCGCCTCACAGTTCCCCCACAGGGCACCCTTCTGACGGGTACACTCACAGCTCATGTACCCCTCCTCCACAGGCTTTCACTATGACAGATGCTGAGCACAGCAGCCTCCTGCAGAAGGTTCAGGACACTGAGGTGACAGAGCCAGCAGCGTTTGTATTGGTGACAGCTTTTGTTGATGTATGACTTCATCTAGTTTCTTGAATATGAATTTCCACAGTCTCCAGTTTACTGCCTGATGGCTACTATTAAAGAAGCCAAAGGAATTCTGGGTAAAGATGTCAGTGGTAAGTCCTTTCTTAGTTATAGCTGTCACATTGTGATTCAGTACTTTTTTGTTTAATTTAGCATTATACATTTAGCATTATATCCTTCACTATTATGTTTTGAGTGACTGACAGGCACATTTAACCAATCAAAGTGAAATACAATATCTCAAGAGCTGCAATTACCTCTTAAAGGCATATTTAAACATACTAACTACTGTACATCAACCATGATCAAATCGATATGGCCCACCCCATTATAAACCATTATAAAGGGCAAAGCATCAAGGAAATAAACTTCAGTAGAGATTTGTGAGACCATGGTAAAAACATATATCAAAGGTTTTTCCTAGACACAATGGGACAATAGTGGCTCTAATGTAATCTGTTGTGTCCTTAGGCAAGACATTAGCTAGTACTGGTGTGTGAGTGGATGTTGGTTGAGGTTAGAGGAGTGATGGCGCAGGTTACCAGCCTCGCTTTTGTCAGTCATGAATAATGCAAAGTGTTTTAGGTGTCTTGAAAGCCTCTATATAAATCCAATGCATTATTATTATTAGGATTCTAAAACTCGCTTCTAAGAGTTGAGAGTTCACTGTGATTGGTTAAATCCACCTGTCACTCAGAGGACTGACCTATAAGAGGAGTGAGTGGGGACAAGTTGAGCGTAAAGAATGTAGTAAAGGGCTCATTTTACGTTATTTTCTAATCAATGTTATAAAGTAGTTTAGGCTAAGGCATATTTAGGCTAAGTTCTCTAAGACAGAAAACACTTAGTTCTACCCTGTGATGTCATGTGGTAATACAGGGAGTGCTTGTATTTTAAAACTCCATGCACCTTCACTAGAATCATTTGGATAATTTCAGCTCTGGAATTGCCAATTTCTACTGAAAAAAATTGTAAAAGGTAGCTATAAAACTACTGCTTCATGACATCACAAGGTGGAACAGCACATTTTAAGCTTTGGAGATGTAGACAGAGGAGGTTAACATAAATGATTACTCAAACATGTGTGAATGAAACAAAACACAACTCCAGGTATGTTTTTGTTGAGGTAACAACATTATAGTATGCATTAAAGTCAAGACACAAGTCAATTTTGCGTTATACAGGATCTTTAATGTGATAAATAGTTTACTTTTTTTTGTAGCGTGAAAAATAACTTACATTTGAACTATTACTGTGAAAAATCCACCCAGGTTTCAGTGACCCGTACTGTCTGCTGACCGTCATGGTGGACGAGGAGCAGAGACGCAGTACTCAGGCCAAGTCCAAACCCTGCAAATCTGTGGTGAAGAATGCAAATCTGGACGGTATCTACCAGACTGACATCAAGAAGCAAACCCTCAACCCCATCTGGAACCAGACCTTCATCATGTGAGATCTACCAGAACAGAAGTAGTAGTAGTAGTAGGAATAATAATTATATAGTTAGTATGTTAGTGATGTGAGGATTGGCAGTAAATGTAGTAGTAGTAGTAGTAGTAGTAGTAGTAGCAGCAGCAGAGAAGTACAAGCAATCTCATCTTGTACAGTTAGTTATAGTATAGTAGCAATGAAATTGTAGTAAAAGTAGTGGCAGTAACAGCAGTAGTAGTAGGAGTGGGAGTAGAGAGTGAGAATGTTAACAGCAGCTGTAATTGTATCAGTAGTTTACTAATATACACAGTAGTAGTTTCTGCAGAGAAGTAGTAGTAGTAGAAGTAGTACTAGTAGAAGTAGTAGTAAAAACAGTTATTATTTGCAATAGTTAGTGATGGGAGGATTGGCAGTAGATGTAGTAATATTATCATCATTAAATATAGTATAAATATAGTATAGTCGCAAAGAAGCTGTAGTAAAAATAGTGGAAGTAACAGCAGTAGTAGTAGGAGTGGTAGTACTGAGAATATTAATAGCTGCTGTAGTTGTAGCAGTAGTAGTTTATGGAGAAGTAATAGCTACAGTAATAGTAGTAGTAGTAAAAGTTTTAACAGTAACAGCATTAACAGTAACAGCATTAGCGGTAAATGGAGGATAAGCAATAGATTGTAGTAGTAGCTGGAGAAGTAGTCGCATCACCATCTTTAAATGTAGTAGTTAGAGTATATGGTAGTAGTTATGCAGTTGTAGTAACATTTGTAGTTGTAGTAGTAGTAGTATGCACAATAACAGTGCAGAGAAGTAGTCTAGTAGTCTATTAAAAGTAATATTAATACTAGTAGTAGTAGTTAAAGCAGTTGTAGTAAAAATCTATAAAAATAGTAATAGCAGTAGCAGTTTGTACATAGCATAACAGGAGCAGTACTAGCAGTGACAATATTAGAAGCTGTAGTAGTAGAAGTGGAAGTATGATATGAAAGACAGCAGTTGTTGTTGCAGTAATAGAAGAAGTTACTTAGTACTTATGCTGCCAGTACTTTGAATGGCCTGTAAGTTACATGTAGACTGTTCTAATGAAATGAGCTGTATTTTTTATTGTTCATTTCAGGGAATTTGCTGACATGGCCGGTGCAAATTTCCACCTAGAAATGTGGTAAGGAGTTAAAAACAGGAGATATGCATAAATTGGGATGAATTGTTTTTGTTTAGTCAAAATTGTTAAGTGTGTTCAAATGCTATTCCAGGGATAAGGACGAAGAGGTGTCACTCAGTCAAAAATTGGAAGAGATTAAAACCCTTGACAGCTTAAGAAGGTAATACAGCCCCAGTTTTGTATATATAAATCAAATATATAGAATAGACTTGATACTCAATACAGAAAAAACACTTAATATATATCTGATTTATTTACTTCAAGGATGATCAAGGATGCCAAAAAGGAGAAAGGAACTGATGACTTTTTGGGAAGAATTAGTCTGAAGCTACAGGTAGCATTTCATATCTCTAAGCTTACTCCAGCCTTAGCAAGAATCCTCCTCTAACAAATATATTTTGTGTGTTTGTAGGATCTCCATTGTACAGAAGACTGCTGGTACAACTTGGAGCCCAGAACTGAGACATACCCTGATCGTGGACAGTGCCACCTCAATCTGAAGTTCATCCACAAATCAGTAAGAAAGAAGGCTGAAGTGGGGTAGTAGGGGAAGCTGAAACTGTAAAAATTGTCTTCAAAATTACTCAGGTACAATGTAATGGTGCAAGAAATTACTTGAAGGTCCTATATTTTGCAAAATTGACTCTTGTGAGCTTTAAGCCTGGTTAAAATATTGTTACCTCATCAGAAAACACCTGGAATTGTGTTTTGTTTCATTCACACATGTTTGAGAAACCCTTTATTATTAGTCTGTGCTCCAAAGCTCAGAGTGTGCTGATGCACCTTGTGATGTCATGAAGTGGTAGTTTCAAAGTTGACAGCTATCTTTTACCTTTGTTCAGTAGAGACTGGCAATTCCAGGGCTCATTATCAGTCCTTATCCAAGTGTTTCTAGTGATGGTGTATGGAATTTAAAAACACAGTGGAGCACTTCACGTATTGCCACATGACATCACAAGGTGGGACAGAGTGTTTTCTGTTTGAGAGAAGAACTCATCCTAAGTTTGCAGGGTTTGTGTATTAAACATGTGTGGATGAAACAAAACACAACTCCTGGTCTGTTTGTGATGAAGAAACAACAATATAACATACATCAGAAAATATTGTAATATGGGGCCTTTAGAAGTGAAAAAGTATTAAGAGTAAGACTACTGTTACTTTAAAATAATGTTTAATGGTAATGTAATAAAGTGCAAAATAGTGGTCTTAGAAATTAGTTAAAGAAACTGTAAAACTAGATATAACATTTGAATTTTAATTTGAGGTCATTTGAAGGACAAAACATTCAATGATGCAATAAATCAGGTATTTTCAAAGGACAAACACAAATGAGACAAGCTAAATCATACCTGAAGAAGCGGTTGTTCAAGTAATTTCTTATTGTCAACATAAAGCTTTTGTCACTTGTTATTTTGTCCTAAATGAAGCTCCTTTACGTCCTGATGTGGACTTGGGTTAATCCTGTTCTAATCAGAATTTAGTCCAGGTCAGGGTTAGTTTCATGTTTAGTCCCAGTTTAGTCCCAGTTTTAATGTGGCGAATGTGCAAATGTGAATGCACCATTATTCACTGTGAGAAGAATAGGCAAAGCAAGGTAAAGTAAGGTAAGTTTATTTGTATAGCACAATTTATACACAGAGAAATTCAAAGTGTTTTATAGAATGGGAACTACATTAAAGCCACACTACAGACAAAGGAAATCAATGTAAAATGTAAAATTTAAACCTTTAAAAGAGAATAAGTGCAGAATAAAATTGATTTCATATGCACATCTAAACAGAACTGTTTTGAGCATAGATTTAAAGGGTTCATATTACGCTCTTTACTGATCAAAAGCAGACCTGGAGTTGTGTTTTGTTTCAGTCACACACATTTAACACACAAACCCTGCATATTTATGTGGAGTTCTTTTCTCAAACATAGAACACTCTGTTTCACCTTGTGATGTCACGTGGTAATACAGGAAGTGCTCCACTGTGTTTTTAAACTCTGTACACCTTCAATGAAACCATTTGGATGATTTCAGCCCTGGAATTGCCAATCTCTAATGAATTAAAGGTAAAAGGAGCTGTTAACTTGAAAACTACCACTACATGACATCACAAGGTGGAACAGAGCATTTTGAGTGTATTGGAGATGTAGACAGACTAATAATAAACATGTGTAAATGAAACAAAACACAACTCAAACAATGTTTTTGATGAGGTAGGAAGATTATAATGGCTTGAAGGGACACTGTGTAACTTTTCTGAGAGTGTGCGTTGATTGGAATGTTTCACATTTCAACATTAAACTTACAAATCTTGCATTTATTTGATTACTGGTCTTGTTATTGCCAAAAAAAAAGAGTAAAAACTTGTATTATTACTGTAAGTTGGTTCACTTGTCCACAGATAGTGACATCGCCAGATTTGCTAGATCAGTTTAAAGCCCTTCTGTGAAACATTCAAGCAAAGCAGCAACATCTCCTAAGACAACCACCAGAAAAGTTACACTGTGCACCTTTAATGCTCACAGTAGTCAATTTTGCATAATATAGGACTGTTAAACACTGTCAGAGTAGAGGCCTGGCTCACATCTTCAAATTATAAATGTAGCCTAACTTTTGTTTTTAAAATCATAGGCAGTAATGAGAACAAAAAGAGGATTTAGCACTTGTGTGAATCCACCTTCACATCCTATTTTGTGTGGCAGAGAGACGGGACTCTGAGTGCCGGGCGCAGCGCTTACATTAACTATTGTGGGATACTGCAGCAGTTTGTCCAGGCCTACATCTCCAAGCAGCAGGTACTCTACATACTAACTGCTGCTAGCAAGTTTGGAGTTGGTTGTGAGAGAATGAAATATTTGAATAGTGATTGTCTCTTGCCTCCATCAGAGTTCTGCTCCGTGGAAAGGAGAGCTGTGCGGAGAGGCCCAGGTTCTTCTGGAGCAGTATGCCACGCAGAATGACCTGTCACCTTTTCTGCAAGATTTGGCGTAAGACACATACTACTGCTGGTGCTCGCAAAGGAAGAATTATGCAATAAAGCAGGATTAGGTGTTGTTGGGATGTGTGATGAGTTGAGGTGGGCAATGATTGCACTAGACAGGAATGATTAGCATTTATCACATTACATTACATTACATCACATATCACATTTTTATGAAGCACTTTTCCACCATCGTCCACCATAGTATAAACAGACACTAGAGGCAAGGAGGGATAAGTATTTTGCTCAAGGGCACATCATTATCTGTGAGAACTGGAATCACACTGCCAACCTATGGATGAGTGGATATGACCACTTGCCCAGTGATGTTTATGTTGAGTGGGATTCGAACTGGTAACCTTCAGATCAGAGGACAAGCAGTTTACCAAATGAGGAACCGCCTCCCCTGTAAATGTCTTAATGGCACAAAAAAATAGCAATGGAATGTAAAGTTAAACACAAAAGTTTAAATGATGAATGATGATTACACTGCAGGTTTCTGTTCTTTCTAATTCTAGCAGATCTTTTAACAATTTTTGATAGTTATGTTAAAAATACAAATACATAATATGATTACTTCCATTAGGTCTTCATGTTTTAATAAATACAAGAAGACTCTTTCTGACTTATAGACCTGTATTTGTGTCATACCTTGACATGTTTTGGCTGCACTTCCTCAGACGTGTCACACGATGAATCTGAGGAAGGCAACTGAAACATGTATGACACAAAAATACAGATCTGGCAATAAAATTCTCAAAATAATTAAAAAAAATATATCTTTTGATATATTGTACAGTGTGTTGATCAGGGCTGCCTAAATTGATGGGCCAAATAGAATACTATTAGCTGAGCCAAGGGCCAAACCTGTTCATGTAAAAACTCTGTTTGCAAATGTATTTAGACTAAACAAAGTTTTTTCATGTAAAAACTTTGTTTGCATATTTATTTTGACTAAACAGTGGTGCTTTTACTTTCCAAGTGACTCCTGGCAAGTGCTCTTGTGTACCCCTAGTGCTCCCTGTACTCCTCTTTATCCCCAATCAAAAGTCAGTCTAATTAAACATGTTAGATGAGCTAGGTACTCATCATCCAGTCATCCAAAATTTATCCAAAAATCTAAATCTGAAGAAAGGTCTCAGTTTGTCCCAGCACTGGTTGAATGATATGTTAAATCATTTCTCTACAGACACAATGTTCAATGTTACTAGTGACAGTGGACGTGTGTGTGTGTGTGACAGGAAGTGGGTGGCCTACAGTAAACTGTACCAGAGTTTAGAGGTGGACTCCTCTGTTCTATTGCAGCAGCTCACCAGCATCGAGTACCACTGGCACCAGCAGGAGCTGCCCTACCAACAGGTCTGCTGCTAAACAACACTCTTTATCTTTATGTAGCTCTTATAGAGAATTACTGACAAATGAGAACATTTAAAGGTCCTATATTACACAAAATTGACTCTTGTGAGCTTTAGGCCACAGAAGAATGCTGTTACCTCCTCAAAACCAGACTTGGAGTTGTGTTTTATTTCATTTACACATGTTTGAGTAATCCTTTATTAGTAGTCTGTCTCCAGCTCAAAATGCTCTGTTCCACCTTGTGATGTCAGGAAATGGTAGTTTTCAAATAAACAGCTCCTTTTACCTTTTGATCAATACCGATTAGCAATTTCAGGACTGAAATCATCCAGATGATGTGCTGCTAATGGGGCTAACTGGCATATTAAGCTTTTCCCAAATCTCCTAAAAAGATGGGTAATAACGTCTTTCCCCTTGATAAAATTCACCAAACATTCTCTTTATTCCGGCTTTAAATCCTCGATCTCGGGAGTCGTCGACAAACTGAATATATGGCCCTTCGCTGATTGGCTGGTGCCCTGACTTGCACTTCCAGGGTTTTTGCGAACTGTCTATTGTATTTTGATTCCTGATCTAGTTGCTGAAGAGAAATGAAATTTAGCGGAGGCACTAGGTGTCATCAGCCTGGCTACAAAATTTCACTATTCGAGTGAGAATGTTTATCTTGTCATTGGCATGTCATTTCATGCACTGTTAACATTACCCAAATTAAGAGTAATATTCATTCATCCTATCTACACCCTGTCAAACAGTCTGTAATTCTACACTCCTGTGATTTAAGGCTGTATTATATGTGTCTATGTGTCATTCAGAAACAGGAGCTGGGGGACTCCCTCCATGGCTTCCTCCAGTACGGCCTGTGTCTGGTGTCCAAGTACAGAGACATCTTTCACCCTACACCCAGCTCCACCCCCAAACTGCACACACTGCTCAGGTACACACAGTCACATACAATGGGGAGGGTCAATAAGAGATGTTTGTTTTTTCACCTTTTGGTTTACTCTGTGTGAAGTTGTCTGTATTGTTACATTAATCATTGCACCCTGGAGGGTGGGCAACACCTTTTCTGTTCTCCCACTAGTTGCACTAAAGATTGAAATGACTTACAGGCCTGCAATGAGGGAGAGAGAAAGAGAGGAGTGAGACAGAGTGAGAGTACGTCTGATTGTATGCATGCACAGAGCAAAATGAATCACTATGAGACCTGGGCGCATGGTGCGTTGGTGGTGTAGCCCCCCAGCACCCACAGCATCTATGAGTGTAAATGGATTGTGTGGGTTTAGAGTCATAAAGGTGTAGGCATATGTGACATCATATACCAAAAACAATTAACTGACTTTGCTTTCACACATTTTTTGCCAATATTTTATATTAGTGGTTTTCAGAGGCTAGAATGTGGTGTCATTATGTCATTTTCTCATCTCCATCACATGGGGGACAGGACACAGATTTCCCAGTTCATTACATTGTATTTTACAATAATCTATATAAATGATGAACCTGATCATTTCAGCTGGTGAATACAACCAAGAACTTGTTATATTTAAACAAAATATATATTTTAACAACATTTTATTTTTCTGCCTCCCATTTGTATAAAAGTGTGAGTGTGTGAGTGTTGTGATATCATTTGAAACCTACCAATACTTTTTCAAACATGGACACTGGGGGTGCCTGAACTCTAAACAGGATTGGACCTGGTCACTACTGTGATGGGAGACTGCTAGGAAAACTACAAAAAAAAATCTTTTACTATCAATGACTACCCATTATATTCAGACACAGGATTATTCTATATGTATGGAGAAACTATATATTTTTTCCCCTCATTTGTTTCAACTATTTTATTTATTTTTCAGAATCTTGGTGCAAATCTGTAAGACTCAGGCATTCCAGAAGCTAAACCCGGCACAGTTTGAGCTACAAGAGGAAGTGATTGATGCTGTTCAGGTCAGTAACCACAGTAATAACATATTTTTTTACATGTTACATTTAATGCTTATTAACCAGCAATTTATTTTCTTTTCCACCAGAGTGGAACAGAGGACTGGTTCTTGGTTAAAAAGGGTCTACACCAGCCAATGACCAAGGTAAGAATCCTGTAATATGGGCCCATATTAACAGACTAATAATAAAGGATTACTCAATCTTGTGTGAATGAAACAAAACACAACATAACCAGGTATGTTTTTGAGGACGTAACCACACTATAACAGCTTAAATTTCACAAGAGTCAAGTTTGTGTAATATATTTTTTTTTATAGTTTCCTTGTCAAAACTTCTCCTTCAGAGCTCTAAATGCTATTGACGCTAGCAGCTATTGTTTTTAGCCCTCTTTACAGTTACACCTTCTGTTGATAGCAGAGGAGTTTACTATACACTGTTCACGGCTGAATTAGTTTTACTTATTGTCCAGATATGTTGCAATATCATTACTATGTCCAAAAGAATTTTCTGAGCGTGTAAAGTTAACCACATCTTATCTGCAGCTGCTGTCTTTTTGTTAATCTTTGCCAGTGTTGCCAGACTGGGCTTAGTGATTTCCGCCCAATCACATTCGAAAACCCACCCCCTTCTTCAAAAAAATGCCCAACAATTTTGTCACAGAAAAAATTTAATCTTTGAAAAAACTTATGTAATCCATTGTTGGGCTTTTTAAAAACATTGCCACTATTGAGAAAAAATGTTAAATGTAGAACAGCATTTTCATTTATCACAGAAAAAAGGGAATTTAATATTTAAATAAAAATGTTGTAGGCTATTTAATCTATTGGCTTTGTAAAAACATTACCAGAATTGGAAAACATGTTTTCCTTTGGTAAAAGGTAGAACAGAATTTTCATCACGCATAAAAATGAATATCATCATTGGTCGGCTATAGGCTAGCTCACTGTAAGAACAACTGACAAACACTGATCTTTGCATTGTGCGTTCCCAGGAACTGTCCGAGATCGTGAGCGCCCTCTCCAGGCTGATCAATGAGGTGCAGGAGGACATAAAGCACAACAAAGATGTGTACAATCGAGTTTTTGCCAGGTAAAAACAGGTCAGGCTGTTTGACCCTCAATGCTGGTGTGTCCGTTTGAAGTCACAAAACCACTAAATGTTGAAGTTTATTGTGAATATGACCTTTTTTATCATTGCAGTGCTGTACAAGTGGACGTGTTCACTGTGGTTTACCGGAAGTTTGATTCACTGGTGAGGAGCTATGTTCTTCTGTTCTTTTCATGTAGCCTACATTTGTGTTAAAGGTTCACTATGTAACTTTTTGGTTGAGGTTTATCATGTTCTTGTTTCTTTGGATATGTCATTGTTCTGCTTCGAGTGTTCCACAATACAGTGAGGTAAAACACATCTTCCTTACATGTATTCAATTACAGGTTGTTTTACTGATTAAAAATACTTACAGAAACAGGCATTCTGACTGTGAGCGGTGCTGCTTCTCCACAAATTTGGCTAGTAACTTGGCCTGGTTTGGTGTCCATGAAGAAAGAAAGGTTTAATGCCATACTGTGAAACATTTCAGACAAAGCATCTCCAGGAAGAAAAGCATTTGATGCACCCTCCACCAGAAAAAGTTACAAAATGCTCCTTTAAATTTGTGCAAAACAAACTATTAAAAGTTGCCTGGGATCCAGAATACACATTTCTTCAATACTTTATGAAGAAGTGAGTTTGGTCACTGATGAATCTCCTAGACTTCAGATGAGTGGGACTGACAGGTATATTAGCCAGTCAGGGACGCACATGGTTTATCTATATATCAAAATAAATATGGATGCTTATAAGAAAAAAGAAAGGAAGAATTAATACAGGAGACTGCAGAATCAGTGAGCCAAGCACTAAAGTCTGTTCATCTGAGGTGAGGTTTTTCAAAATGATGGTGACCAGTGAGCTCCTTCTTTTCACATGTGTCACTGTAATAAACAAATCTTTTTCAACAACCATGTTTGGTTCTGGCTCAAAAAATGTACTTAAAATGTAAAAGAACAGATACCAGAGCAAAAAAATACTCAAGTAAAAGTAAAAATATCACATGAAAAAATCTGTGAAGTAAAAGTATTAAAGTTAAAGTAAAAGCATTTTGTGCAGACTTTGAGGTCTTATGAAGCTTCAAATGTAGTGATTTTGATAAAGATTTTTGTTGAATTTTATTCAAGAGAAACAATGGAATTTACTTTACTTATAAAGTACAGATACATAACATTTACAGTACAGTACAGTACTTAACTACACTACTCAACTACTTAACTACTAGGTCATTCTGGATTGCCAAGAAAAATTCAAAGGCTTTGACATCTAAATAAAGTTTGTATTTTGTAATCACACTTTTAGTTGTACATTTGTATACACAAGTGCTGTAGTTTGGGACAAATTATTTCAGACAAATATATTATACACAGTAAATTATGTCTTTGCTAACTTCATTTTCACTTTAAAAAGATGAGCATTATCTTCTTCATGTCTCCACACAGACAGCATGAAGCATCTGTCTACCAGTAGTAGCTATGTCATCATTTCATTCTGTTTCACTCCACAGAAGAGGCTGACACACACCTCATCCGAGCGTTTTTAATCCTATTCCTATTTCTCATCTTTGTCTCTTCTTCCACTTGTTTTCTGTGTGGCAGTTGGCCAAGGAGGTGAGAGAGACCATGTCTGTGATGGAAGGTCAGATGGAGCAGCCTCTAGCCAAGAACCTGTTCCCAGTGTACCTGAGCCTGCAGAAGATCCACAAAGACAAGGCCTTCCTACAGAAAAGGTGAGTGGTGCTATGCTAGCCCCCGTGCTGTTCATGTTCATGTTCATGTTCATGTTCATGTGCTTGACCATCTTCTCTGTACACACACTGAAGCATACACAACAAATATTAACCTGCTTAGCCATACAATAGTTTCTATAGTGCACGGTCTATATTGCATTATTTTTTATGTACAGTGGAGAAGTCTGTATTTGATCCCTTGCTGATTTTGTAGACACACACACTGACAAAGAAATAAACAGTGTATCACTTTAATGGTAGGCTTATTTTAACATTGAGTGATAGAACATCAAAAAAGGAAATCCAGAAAATAACTTTAAAGAAAATATCTAAACTGATTTGCATTTTATTGAGTGAAATAAGTACAGTATTTAAACCCTCAAGCCAAAAAAGACTTGATGTCGAAACCCTTGTTTGCAGCACAGAGGTCATACTTTTCTTGTAGCTGATGACCAGGAATTTTGGTCCAATCTTCTTTGCAGATCATCTCTAAATCATTAAAGTTTCGTAGTTGGATTTTGCACCTTCTCCCAATCCCTCTCTAAATCATTCAGGTGTTCATTGGCAAACTTCTGCATATGTGCCATCTTAAGCAGGGCGACCTTGCGAGTGCTGCAGGATTTGAATCCATTGTGGCATAATGTGTTAACAATGGTTTTCTTAGTGACTGTAGTCCCAGCTGCCTTGAGATCATTGTCTAGCTCCTCCTGTATAGTTCTAGGCTGATTTCTCACTGTTCTCATGATCATTGAAACCCCACGAGGTGAGATCTTGTGTGGAGCCCCAGACTGAGGTCATTTGATGCTAATTTTGTATTTCTAAAATTTTCGAACAATTGCACCAACAGTTGTCTCCTTAACACGAGCTTCTTGCTTATGGTTTTGTAGCCCGTTCCAGCCTTGTTCTGGTCTACAGCCTTGTCCCTGACGTCCTTTGACGGCTCTTTGGTCTTTCCCATGTTGGACAGTTTGGAGTCTGATGGATTGACTAATTCTGTATACAGGTGTCTTTTATACAGAAATCAATTAATATATTTTCTTTTTGATATTCTATATCTCATTGTTAAAATAAACCTACCATTAAAATGGCATTTCTTTGTCAGTGAGAAAACTAGGCATCAAATGCTTATTTCCTCCACTGTATGTGATAATGTTGTTTCCTCATCCAAACGTACATGAACAGCTTCACTCCTTGGTGAACTAGCAGATTTAGAGGCTTTCCATTGACAATCGCAACCATACAAAAAGTAAAACATAAATATTCAAAAATTAAAGCAACAACGTTAGACGATTTTAGTGTATTGAGGAGTAAATGGGTTCAATTAAGTTCAACTAAGAAAAAAATGGCCGTTAACTTTAAAATACCACTTCATGGCATCATAATGTTGGGGATGCAGACACAATCCAGGATTACTTAAACTTGTGAGAAAGCAACAAAACACAGCTCCAGTGTTTTTGAGAAGGTATTGTAACATAGCTTACAGCTCATGTAAGTCAGTTGTGCGAAATATAGAAGCTTTTAAATGCAATGTTTTGAACAGCATTTCATGTGATGTGTTGTTGGTGTGTTATAGGGGTGTTCTGGAGCTGACAAACTTCCATGAGGAGTTCAGGGAGGCTCTGCCCTACTGGCTGCACCAGGCCTTCAGCACCACACAGGACAGAGTGGAGAGGGCCGTGCAGGTCGACCAGGTCATTATCACATTTGCCTTATTCTGATTTCTATATTCACATTTATTTGTACTGTAATTAGTTCAGTTACATTTACTTAAACCATGTTTTTTACCAAAATAATATACTTTTGAAGTAACAATACTCTTACAAACTGAGTATAGACTGAGTATAGACTGGGTAGAAATGAGTACACAACCCTCAAAATAAGTTTAAGTGACCAGTATTGATTTGTACTTGTGCATATACACCTAATAATACCAAAAAATAAAGAAATGAAAAGAAAGAAAATGTTGCAAATGCCAAAACAGTCGCTCTCTCCATTAAAAAATGTAAAATACTTTAATATGGTGTAGTATTTGAACTGCTTTACACTTTTACTTCAAGACTGTCAAGACTGAATGTATAGCTCTTTGAGTAATTTATTTGTTCCACAAATGTCACTCTCTGTTTTTTTCTAATGGTCATATTTATGGTCCTATAGCTGCAGCCCCTCCAGTCTGGAGCGGTGCCCATCAAACACAGCTCGTCTGCAGTGGACCTGGTGTCCTGTGTCCAGCCCATCTGTCAGCTGTGGGAGCAGCTGAGCTGGCCTGACCCAGAGGAGGCCTTCATGCTCATGGTCAAACTCACTGAGGTACAAGAAACAGAGAGATCATAAAGTCTACAGGAGGATGATATGTACTCTGCATTTTTAGGATGTGTGTAAGATTGTGGTCAACTACTGCAAGATCCTGAAGGAACGCGTGAGAGTGCTGACAGAAAACTCTGAGTATGGCAGTGCTATCAACATGGTGAGAATTCACACAAACATCTGCTCGTTTTTTCCTTTTATGTTTGGTGGCCAAAACAGAATCCCTCTACCTATGCCTTCAATACACAGACTTTTCTTGTCTTCCATCCAAAATTCAGACACAATTTGCAAAGAAGGAACACATTTTTATGACAATTTAAACATTAATTTATCAAAATAAAGTAATGACATTAATTTTAGTCATGAAATCATATCTCTTGTGTAAATGTTGTGCTTTGCCTCTTAGTTTTGCCTTGCCTTTGCCTTTGCTTTGCCTGTCAGTTATGAAATTACCTCTACATATGTCATATCTGCTGCCTGTGTCCAGTCAGGAGGTAAAATTATAAACTTCACCAAAATGATCAAACTAGGGAAAACTAGGCAGGATTTTATATATTTATATAATAGTGTGAACTATGTTTTAAAGAAATGTGCAGTTGAACTTGTCATATGCACTTAAAAGCACAGTATTTAACTTTGTAGCATGTCACCTGCATGATTCCAAGGAAATAGAAAGTTAAAAACATACTTCAAAACATTCTGAAGATAGATACGTTTTATTCCATATTGTGGAATATGATGCCAGAGGAACTTCCCTTTCTGCTAATAAGAAAGAAAATGGTTGTGCAGCTAGAATTTTGTTTAAAAACAACAAAAGAAGCAAAACATTCAGAGCGATATACGGGCAGTTTGATACATTACTAGCTTGGTATCACTAAATATCTGAGTATCAGATTTGTGAGTTGATTTTGTCTCCTGTCCTCCCTGTGTGTCAGCTGTGTGTGGTGGTGAACGACCTGGAGTACCTGCGCTCGGTCCTGACGCGCCTGCCCTCTCAGCTCAACTGGGTGGGGCTAAAGGAGCGCACTCAGCACGTGATCGGAGAGAGACAGTTCCATAACACTCTGCACTCACAGCTCCAGCAGGCACAGGACATCCTGAACAAAGAGATCCGCTCTGCTCTGCACACGCTGGGCAAGAGGGTATGACTCATGGGCCAGTCTAATGTTAAGTCTGTTTTATGCCATCTGTGCTTTAATCTTGTGCTATGGTTGGACAGTTGAACACAGACATTGAGACCCATGTCCGGAGCATGAGCACAAGGAAAAGGTTCCCCTCCAAGTCCACAGAGGATGTAGGTGCACACTGTGTCTCATGTCTATCACATATACAGTATATATATCACATATAATGGGACAACTGATAGTAACCACTGTGTGTTTGAAGGTGGCTGCTCCACTGATGCGCTACCTGGAGAAAGAACTGCAGTATATGAATGAAAACCTGGTCCAAGAAAACTTTAACAGGTAAACCCATAGAGTTTATACATTAAGGTATGTGGGTGTATGGTGTTATAACAGAGGACTGTTGTGGTAGTAGACAGTGAGTTAAGAATTCACCCATCAACCTCAGGATTTCCTCCAGTCCAGTCATTGCTGGAGTGAATACTGTTGTGTGCAGACATAACTGGAAAGCTGAGCTGCCCTCAGCCCTCCTCATGTCGCCAGGTTAAAAGTCAGATCTGTGTGGATGTTTTTATAGGTATTTTTGTAATGAAGTAAACTGAATATAGATATCCCACACTGTAAGAATGCCATAATTTCTCCATGGAGACAAGCAGGTGCCAAACCTCCCACAAGAATAGTGACATAGTGCGGCTTTAAAATAATATTTGAAAAGAACCTGTTGAGGTGTTGACAGCTGTATTGCTCTTTAGTCTTCTAACCCCACTGTGGAACAACTCTGTGACGATCTTGTACCAAGTGGCCACTCAGACGCAGCACCAGGAGGGTCTGATGGTGTACTGCCAGAGGCTCTCCTACACACTGCAGGTACTCACCAGGACTGGCCTCACCTTACCCTAAACTAACCCTAACCTCTAAAACCCACTGAGACAGCAGACTGACCCCACTCTGTCTCATGTGTAGTGTCTGGAGCAGTGCTTTCACGCCGAGGGAAATGGGCTCCCACTCAGCACCTTACATTCTGTCGAGTACAAAGTAAGAATTTTAAATGCTATTTAGTTTTCCCTGTTCTTAAACAATAATTTTGGTAAATGGAGTTTCCTGTAGAGATTGACTGATACAGTTTTTTTCGTGACCTATGGCAATGTTTAGAATGCTGCAAAACCAATGGCCAAACAAGTGAACCTATATTTTGGGGAGATTTTTTTTTCACCAAATTACATACTTTAAATTCATTACAAACTCATCCATAGCCCTGTTTTACTACAAATTGGATAAGAGAGCAGCGTAGTGTTAAAATAAAGCATTATATTATATATATGTATCCATTTTCAAACCATTTTAGTCTTACTTGCTTAACTTTTTTCTTGAGTTTTTTTGTCTTTACTTAACATGTTTTGCTCTCTCCACAGATGCTCAAAGCTCACCTAACACACAACTCTCTGAGCAGCTTCCAGCTCATAGAGAAATTCTTTGACAAGAAGCTAACAGATCAGGTACCGTGTCCCCCTGTGGTACTTTGATAACATCATGTGATGTTGTTAATCGTGCTGGTTGTTTTTGACAGAATGTTTTCCGTGGAGAGAAGTACGGAGCTGTCACGCTCCGCGTGTCCTACAACAGATCAGAACAGAAGCTTAGAGTGGAGGTGTTGAATGCTGTCAATCTGTTACCCATGGACTCCAATGGTGAGATCACACACAGTATAATGAAAAACGTTCAGAAGGTCAAAGACAGTAGTCCTGTAATAGATAGAGAAGATTCTCATACAAAACTGTGACTAGCTAACAGTGAAGAAACTACTCCAGACTGGAAGTAGCTCTGATAGAGAATTGCATTTCTGATCTGTTCCTTCTCCACACTCTGTCCTTGTTGTCTTGGCCTATGTTATAATACTCCCTACAATGGAAACATAGCCAGACTAATAATAATGCATTACTCTTATATAGCGTTTTTATATAACGCTCTAAGTCGCTTCATAATTCCCAGCATTATTCATTCACTGCACATTCGGTGGTGGTAAGTTACTATTGTAGCCACAGCTGCCCTGGGACAGACCATGGACTATTATAAATGGACATAGCTAATGCGCTAGCCGCCGTGTTACAAATAGAACGTTCTCTTGGCCTCTCTCTGTAATTGCTGCTGTGAACCTCGTCATTTTGGTTTTAAAATGTTCATATTAACCTGCTCTACATGATCCTGGGGTTTTTATTTTGCTATTTTGCCCATTCATAATATAGCGCCTGACTCCAGTAACCACTAGCATCGCTGAACACTGTGGTGACATCACTTACTCACATTCACTTAGTCCACTTCTTTATAAAGTCTGTGGGACAGACTGACTGAAGAGAGGCTGCCAGTCTGTGCCATTGGCCCCTCTGACCTTCTGTGAGTCTAGCCTCGACGTACTTACTTCAATTTATTCTACAAAAATAATTTTCATATCACATATGTAGATTTTTATTTTGTTTCACTTCCTGCTCAAAACTGCACAACAGATTCTTTGCTGTTTCTACCTCTTCATTGTAATAAGCAACAGATTTAGGGTGTTTTAATTTTTGATAAATGGCTTTTCATCATATTTTAAGCCTTAGTGCATGTCCCAGTATATTTCTTTTTTAAGAATAAGTGGTAAACAGCAGTGGGCGGAGATAGGAGATAAGTGCAAAGAACTATTCTGAGCACTCAAGCCTCAAATGCAGAATTACTACACACCTTTTGTGTGTCCCCTTTAATATCTATAAAGGATCTATAAACAGACTGATTAAACAAGATTGTTTTCCTATATACTTTGGGGGGAAAATCAAAATCTTAAAACCATTTTGCAAAAAGCAAAAAAAAAGATACAACCTGAACATTGTATTTGACAGGTTTCAGCGACCCATATGTTCAGCTGTGCCTGGAGCCCAACCATATTTTCCCTGAAGTTGAACCTCGCTGTACACAGATCAAGAGCTGTGACCTTAACCCTTTGTTTGAAGAAGTGTTTGACTTGTAAGTAGCCTGTAGATTTAAATCACATTAGTCACTTCCTCCTATAGTGTTTGAACCTCTGTATTTTGCCAGTATGATTTCTCTGGAGCAGTGCAGATCTCCAGGAGCATGTTTGGTGGTGACGGTTCTGGACCATGACACTTTAAGGACAGATGACTTTGAAGGAGAGGCGTTCCTGGGTCTTAAGAATATCCCAAACGTGCCCAGGGCAAAAGAGGACAACGAGGATAGTGAAAATTTTCAACCAGATGCCGAGCCTGCGCAGATACGACTGTCGCTGATGCACCCTAAACCTAATGGTAAGATGATTAGAAAACTGAATAGTCCAACTTCAATTCACCAGCTCTTGTGATAGTCATTATACAGTCCCTGACAAAAGTCTTGTCACTTATCAATTTTGTAGAAACAAAAGGTTATAACCTGATTTTAAATGAATCGATTGGTTTTAGAAATGTCTCATATGAAAGCTAAAAACCTCCCAAATTATGCTCAATATACTAAAATAAATTTGCTTCACTGAAGAAAGATTGATCATTTAATGAACACAGAAAGGTCAGATTTTGGCAAGACAAAAGTCTTGTCTCCTTGTCATATGATGCACCCATCCTAGATTACAGCCTCACCTGTGATCAGTTACTGATCAATCAATTAGTGGGCGTGTATAAAAAGAACCCCAGCACACCAGACCTTCACCTCAACTGCAACTTGACCTCTGACAACATGCCTAAGATCCACCCTGAGACCAAAGCGTTAATTATCAAGAGGCTGAAGACCAGATCCACTGCTGAGGTGGTGACACCTTCAATGTGTCTCAGCGTCAAGTACAAAGAATAAGAAAAAGATCTGAAATGACTCGAGATGTTTTTGACAAGCCCAGGTCCGGCAGAACCCGCAAGACAGCTGCTCGGGAGGACCGTTTGTTGATTTGAAAATCCAAGGCCCCTTTTCCACTGCAGCAGAGCTCCACCAGGCCTGGTCACCTCAAGTCCCTGTGTCAACCTGAACAGTTTGTAGAATTCTGTCTCGAAATGGCCTCCATGGTCGAATCAGTGCACAGAAACCAGCACTAAACAAAAGGCAATTAAAAAACCGTGTGGCATTTGCCAAGGCCCACAGCCTGCTAAAAGGATGGACACTGGAAAAGTGGCGGAAGGTGGATTTCTCATATGAATCCTCGGTTGAATTACATCACCTGGTCTGGGGTTCACGACACATTTGCAGGGTGGAAGGCAATATCAATAGCCTAAAATATCAAGAAGTATTGGCTACCTCTTACATTCCCAACCATAAAAGGGGTCAAATTTTGCAGCAGGATGGTGCTCCATCGCATACTTCTATCTCTACATCAAAGTTTCTCAAGGCGAAGAAGATCAAGGTGCTCCAGGACTGGCCAGCCCAGTCACCAGACATGAACATCATTGAGCATGTCTGGGGTAGAATGAAAGAGGAAGCATGGAAGGCAAAACCAAAGAATCTTGATGAACTCTGGGAGGCTGTAAGACGCTTTCTTTGCTATTCCTGATGACTTCATCAACAAATTGTATGAATCATTGTCGAACCGCATGGATGCGTCCTTCAAGCTCATGGAAGTCATACAAAATATTAAATATGGATCTCACAGCACCACTACTTAATTCACTGACGTTATGCAACATATTTTTGTATTTGAAGTAAATTATTTGTTAAATTTTCTGTAGGCGACAAAACTTTTGTCTTGCCAAAATCTGACCTTTCTGTGTTCATTAAATGATCAATCTTTCTTCAGTGAAGCAAATTTATTTTAGTATATTGAGCATAATTTGGGAGGGTTTTAGCTTTCATATGAGACATTTCTAAAACCAATCGATTAATTTAAAGTCAGGTTATAAGCTTTTGTTTCTACAAAATGGATAAGCGACAAGACTTTTGTCAGGGACTGTAATGTGAAAAAGACTAATTGGACAGTACCTTTAATTTGCTGTGTTTTAATGCCATCAAATGGTCACAGTAGATTGCAGTTACATATTGTTCTGTCCATCTGCAGTAGTTCCAATTTTGATGCAATTTAAATAGTGACAAGGCTGCTATAGAAACTTTATTACTTTGCTTTAGAAATTGTATTAAAATGATTGACTTTTGGTAAAGGGTCATGATTTCCGAACTCATTTCATTTTGTATTTTAGATTATAATTATATGATACATAATTATATATATAAAATACATTTTTTATCAGCATGTTTAATAGAGGTTGTAAGAAATATATAATGGTGGATTATTTTTAAGGAAAGTGTTGATCCCAGCACTGACCTTTGTGGTACACCAAGTTCTCAATCACAGACTGACTGCAGACATATGTTATTGATATTTAGAGGACAACATTCTGAAGCTGCTGGAGACCAGGAAAGGAGAACGTGAGGCCCAGATGTTTGTGAAGAAGCGCCGTTTAAGAGAGAAACAGTCCCAAGAAAATAACCAACCCTGATAGAAAACCAACACGTGTTCCTCCAAAAATATACCATTTATTTGACTGGTCTGTACCAAAAACAAAGGAACTCCACTCAGAGGCAAACACTGGTGATGATGAAGTGTGGTGGACAGTTTGAAGTTACATCACAGTGATCATGAAACACTTTGACATCTGCCGCTGTGTCCTGACTGATGCTTCTCTATTCAGTGCAACAGATAAGTATGACAGCACGGGACTATGGAGAGTTATATATATATAATATATATTAGCCTACTTTTGACACAAAGTGAAATGTCAAAGATTACTACAAATGTCAAGATTTGGCAGATTAAACTGTCACATATTCATTGAAAACAAGAGCCAGAAAAACAAAGTGTATTTTAAATGTATATGAAAATTGTAAAGTAAAAAAGGTAATTTCAAAGACTACACAAGTTTGAGTACATTTGCCTTGATTGTGTTAACATGCTTTCTTCTTGAGAAAACCTGAGTGTATTAACAGAGGCCGTCTGTTGTATTACAAAACAAATACTACATTTAAATATGTTATTGTAACACATTATTTTTCATTTAGACTAAACTAAGTAATATAAAAATGAAATTAAACATGTAAGTCCACAAAAGTGCTACCAGGTGTCTGGTAGGAGGGCCCCCTTTGGCTGTAGCATTAGAACAATATAGTCTGCATGAATTCACACACATAACTTTAACCTTCTGTTCTTATTTTCACCTCATTATTAATGCTAAAACCATTCTCTACAAGCATTATTGTTTCTTTACAAAATCAGTGCAATTAGTTGTATTATTTGGTTATTTGTTATTACACACAGACCACATTATGGACAGCTATTGTCTGTATTCAGGAGAATATATATGAACGTTTTTATGGACAAAACCATTTTGATACCATCATGTTATTTTATCAAGATGCTCCCATAATGCAGTCTGTAGAGAACTATATTGGACTCATAACCTTCACTATGAATGACCTAAACCTAAGCAGACATTATCCTGTAGCAATGGCCCTTTAAGATTAGATAGAGTCACTGTTGAAATATCAGTGGAATAGATATTAAGATTTGTTTAAATGATGACAAGTTGATACAAACAGTGTCGCTGGTTAAGAACAATGCACAGTCAAATGTTGTGCTGTTCCAAGAGTAACACTGGGAATTCGAAAGAAGCTAAGATGTAAAAGTGTACATTGGACTTTGCAGTTGACCTGGCAGCCACGGCCCAGTGTGGTGAGTAAAAAGGTGGTTATAAAAAGAGCTGCGTGGCTGGTGTGGATCATGTGGAGGTGGTCGGGTGGGGTGTGTATGGGGGGGTCAGGAGAGGGGCTGAGGGGGCTGCTGCTGCTGCTTCTGCTCCTGGTTGTGTTCGGGGCACATGGGGCACTCTGTGGAGGAGGAACAGCTCTCACACTGCAGTCCATGTCCACAGGGCAGAGACTGAGAGCCCGGCTCCCCACAGGACACACAGCACTGACGCTGCTTACGGTACACCACCTGACACACACACAACACACAGGGGCACACATAGAGACAGGTTAAACACTTCCAATGACCTGATAGAACTACTAATGCCTGCAGTCTCACGGCAAATGATCAGAGTGATCATCAGGATGATACATGGCCGTGCTACTCATGTTCATAGTGAAAACACCAAGTAACTGATGATGACACATGAGAAGATTACATAAGGAAAACCTGTCCTCTAATTAACAACCATGAGAATATGAACATTTTGTTTTTACTGACAATTATTCATTGCTATTGATTAAATGTTGGTGTTTACTGTTTTCTTCCACTGAAATGGGCTCTGAACTAAAGGCCCATAAGAGCAGTTTTACATGTTTAGTGGAGACCAGTTTGTAAGCAGAGCGAGTGTTTACCTGTTCCACAGCATGTAGGCAGCTGCAGAGCTGGGCCTGCAGGCTCAGCACAGACTCCAGGGGCAGCCTGTGCAGCAGCTGCAGCTGGTGCACCTCTAGATGAGGGTTCTCTCCTCTGCGCAGGCTCTCCAGGGCCTCCTGGAGGAGAGAGGCCTGTCTCTGTGCCTCCTCCTCTGCCTGTTTGGCTCTCTCTGCTTCCATGGCTAACCGTGCCGCATGGGCCCTGGACTCCTCTGCCTCAGCCTTCATGGCTGCCCACGACTAAGAACACACACACAGAAACGTGGTTACTTTTCACAGAGACTTTGTTTGGGATTCATACATCCATCAACACAACCAGGCACACGCTGCTACTACATTCAGTTTGTTTTCTTTATACCCAGAGCTGCTGCTTTTCTAATACATATTCATATCATTTAGCTTAAACATTTAAACCCTTATACAACAAACATTCACACACACATTCACTCATGCTGGGGTGCCATGTTTTGGGGGGCATTACACTGACATGCTTTGGTTTCATTTTAAAATAATTACTACTTGCCTAACCTAACTAACCCAAACCATTAACCCATTAACCCACATTAATCTCTATCTAAACTTTACACCACGTTGCTGATCTAACACTGAAAGCTTTAGCTCTTGTGGATCTGATGTTTGTTCCTCATTTCATCCCCACTCTAATATACTTGATGTCACCTTCCCTCTAGTGTCATGTGACACTCTCATCCACTTTACACACCTGAGCCGTGTGCCTCCAGCTGTGGCCCCACTGCTTGAGCGCTCGGTGGGCTTCGTCCAGCTCCTGTTTGAGTCTCACAGTCTCAGGACACGGGGCCGAGGGCAGGAGTGTCGGAGGGGTCCCAGGAGAGCCCTGCCCGGACGGGAAATGTTCCCAAATATTGCTACTCATACCATTCAAACCTGCAGAGAGCAGAAGCAAAGGATCAGAGCCCACCAAATCAGAACCATCAATCAGAGCCCACCAAATAAATATTGTATGCCATAATTGCAGATTTTACCATTTGCTAATTCCCACCATCCATTAAAGTAAGTTTTCTTTTTTGGCTAGTTATTTTAGTGACAAGTTACTTCAGTTTGTACACAAATAATACTAAATTACAAAAGACAGCACAGATATAATTCAGAACAGCTATGGTTTATAGACAATAGTTTTAGAAAATGAATTTACAAACCTAAAGAGCTATGAGACGGTCCTAGAAACGGGCTATCAGATTGGCCAGGATTAGATAAATGTGATGATAAGAACGGTGAAGCGTGTGCCCTGATTGGTGGCGAAGGTGAGGGCGACCCAAAGGGGGCAGAGCTACTAAAGGAGCCTGGAATATTGACGGGAGCTGAACTCTGGAGCTGGCTACCTCCTGGAGCAAAACATAAAAACAAATATGTCAGAATTGAACAGGTGGAACTGTAAAATGTGTAGAAAAATGACAAAATATTACCGAGCATGACCCCCACACTGCTCTCTAAACTCCTCTCCAGCGCTGATACACCAAAATCATTCAGGTCTAAATCATCCAAGGCGGATTCTGCACAACATAACAACCATTTAACCTTTCATTTAAACGCTATTAAAGATGCACTATGTAACTTTTCTGGTGCAGAGTACGCCACCTGCTCGTCACATAGACAACTTATTGCTTTGTCAGTAATGTTCCACAGTATGAAATCAAATGTATCTCTCTTACATTGTTCTATTTGACAGTTTGAGGACTTTTAACCACTTTTTCAAAAGATATAATATTTTGTTTAATTTTTTTTTCTTTTTCTATTAAATTACCTTCATAAACATGTATTCTTACTGTAAGTGAGGTCACCTGTTCACAGATCTTACGTGTAACTTTGCACTGAAAAGTCACTCACTCGTCTCCATGGACATAAACAATGAGTTCCTATGGATCATTGTGAAACCTCCTTTTTTATTGCTCAGAAATACCTTGATAAATATGCATTTTATTAATGTGAGTGGGGTCACCTCTCCACGGATCTAAAGTGTAACTTTGTACTAAAAAGAAACTCACTCATCTCTATGGACATAAATAGTGAGTTGCTACTGGAACAGTCCTAATTTGCCATCAATCTGAAGCCCAAGAATATTTTTTTCTATTTCTCAAAATCACCTTCATAAACATGCATTCTTACTGTAAGTGGGGTCGCCTCTCCACAGATCTGATGTGTAACTTTGTACTGAAAATTCACTCACTTGTCTCCATGGACATAAACAGTGAGTTCCTATGAGATCATTCTGAAACCCCCTTTGTTATGGCTCAGAAATACCATTTTTTACTGTGAGTGGGATCGCTTCCTCATACAAGAGACCTGTAAGTTGTCCCTGAGATGCCGCCTGCTAGTATCCATGGAGACAGATATGTTTAACTCTTTCCCCCCTGGACGCCTACTAGGAACAACCCATACATATGTTACTAGGGCTCACATAGAGCATACTTGCATAAAAGAAAACAGACTTCCACGAGTGATTTCAGGGCAATTTTGGTTCATAATCGAGTATAAAGCCCGGATAGTTTGTTTGGATATCGCAGGACTCCATACAGATGCATCAGCTGCATTCTCATCTTCGTAAGATTCACTCTCTGTAAGTCCGTCACTATCGCTGTTTTCCACTTTATAATCACCCTCATCATCACTTTGAAATCTATAAAAGTCATTTTCTCTAAACTTATCCATAAAATACGTCCGCTCCTCATTATTTCTAAAACTGTGCGCCGCAGCGCCGCGATCTTTCCATTGCACGTGTTTCGTGTTGTGTTTTTTCCGGAAGCTACAATCGTCACTATTTCGATTAACTTCGGAAAAAAATCGGCGAAAACATATCCTTGAATCCTAATGGTCAGCCTAGTGTGGGTTGTAGTGGCCCCTACCTATCGCAGTCTCTGTTTAAATGTGAAAAACCGAGCCATTTCTAAAGGTCATCAAATCACGTCTTTAGTGATACAGCGATACAGAGGTGTCAAAAGTCGTCATTAAGGGAACAGGGGGGGTCGTCAAATGTCGTCTTCATGGGGGAAAGAGTTAATGCGTCATACTGTGGAACATACCAGGCAAAAATAATAGCATCCTCATAGAGACGAGCATGTGGTGTATGTTTAAAATGGTGCTAGAAAACAGGACAGCCCTTACCAACTACAGACTCGACAGTCTCGCTGGTGGGGTAGAAGGGCAGGGCGTTGGCATTCATCCCAGAGGAGAAGGAGGGTCCAGGGGGTCCCAGGGGAGCAGGGCTGGGCGGTGTGGCTGCCAGACTGGATGGAATACTGGAGGAGAGACTGAGGGGGCTACCAACGGGTAAAAACACCAACAGGTCCTGAACAACAGGCCACACGTTACAATATGAGCACATGTGTTCATAATCCAACTTTACCTTATACTTTTGAATGATTGAAGTACCTGTTTAAAAATGTACTTTATGAGTAAAAAGTAAAAGTATCTTGCAGAGATTTCTGAACATTGAAGAATTCAGCTGATTTTAAGTTATTCAACTGATTTCTTAATGATTAATTT